TTTAAATCATGTTGGAAGGAATGTTTCATTGAAACAGATTTCCTTCTCAGTCGCCTGGCTGTTTGTCAGTCTCTCTCCTTTCAGTAAAGGCCAAGGAAGGATGTAGTCGGTGGCCTAGTAGTATGGTGTCCGCCCTGGGACTGGAAGATCGTGGGTTCAAATCCACAGTTGGGTCATTCCAAAGACCTTAAAAATGGGACCCAATGCCTCTCCGCTTGATACTCAGCTTTATGCCAGGATCACTTTTTCACCGAGTGCTTCTGCTCACACCTACTGTTTTCCAAACCCCACCACCCCGTGGCCTTGCTTTGTGTGTGTGTGTGTGTGTGTGTGTGTGTGTGTGTGTTTGTGTATGTTACCAGTTTGCTCTGCTTGTTGAGATCAGAAACTGTGCCGATCCTGTTGCCATTTTGTAGACCAACTTCTTTCTAAATAGATAAGTAAATAGTTAGCATAGCATAGCATAGTTTACTTATATAGCACGTTTAAAATGCAGCATGGGAGCTGCCCAAAGTGCTGCACAGGCTAAAACAAAGCACAACCATTACAAGGAGCTAAAACAGAGGATAAAAATCTCAATCAAAGGCAGATAAACCATGATGAATACTAAGAACACAATTAAAACAATGATGCAATAAAACACTAAAACAAGTCACTGTCTAAAAGCCAAAGTGTAAAAGTGGGTCTTTAAACGAGATTTAAAAACCGCCAGAGATGGAGCCTGCCGAACTCCAATGGGCAATGAGTTCCATAGCTTTGGGGCAGCATGCACAAATGCTCGATCACCCTGCGATTAGTCTCATCCGCGGCGTGTACAGCAGCAAAAGGTCAGCCGACCTCAACGTGCACGTGGGCACATATGGAGTGAGCAGGGCAGAGAGGTAGGGAGGTGCCAGGTCATTGAGTGCTTTAAAAACAAAAGTCAGTAACTTAAACTGCACTCTGAAAAAGACAGGGAGCCAGTGAAGATGTTCCAGGACAGGGGTAATGTGGCTACGTCGGTGTGTACCCGACAAGAACCTGGCAGCAGCGTTCTGGACAACCTGTAGTGTTTGTGGTAGTGTACATTACTATTGTACATTTACCTTAGAATTAAATGTATTTGTTTTTATTCATATTTATTAAATCCATCTTTTGCTGTTAAAACTGCATTTAAAATTATGGAAACGCTGTGTTTCTCCGCAGGAGTGTGTGTGTGTGTGTGTGTGTGTGTGTGTGTGTGTGTGTTTGTTCATGTTCATCTCTCTAGTCTGTTTAGATGCACAAAAATAATCACATTTATCAATCGCAGTGTTTTATTTAGACATTTTAAAACATTTTGTTAAATTTACCAGCCTGTTTCTTCTGTTTGGTTTTGACTTCCTGCCTCAATTGCCACAGCTCACCCACGGCTCACGGAAAAATTTGAGCACAAGTTGAAATGATCGCTGCATGGCGCAAGCCTTTGTGGCGCTTCACAGCTGATGTGACTGAGACCGTAGGTTCACAAGGGCGCCGAATAGAAGCGCTCGTCGTTCAACTGCGCTTAGCAGCGCATCGTCGCGTGTCCGTGTCTGATGTGATCCAGGGGTTAAGGGGTTGGATTGGTGGGATTAAACCCCCAAATAGTTACCAAGCATGGCCGTATCTGAAGCTCCCCACAGGGATGGGTTAAATGTGGAGGAACTATTTGACCACTGTGTGACGACTACAGTCTGTGAGCCCTTGGGTTGCAGAGTCCGTGCGTGCTAACACTGCAGCACCAGCATTTGTAAAGCAACAACATCCAGCAGATTTTGTAGAGATCCTAAGCTAGCAACAGGAGCGACCCAGAAGTTATATCTTGTACCTCTGAAATGCCACGGCATCTTTTTGATTTACACTTTAGCTGTGGATGAGCTAACATTGAGCTAACAATGCTAACGGGGAACTAGAAACAAATATATGGATATAAAAAATCTCAAGCTACTTTTTCATTTACCAACAACTAGATATTCCAGTGAAATGTATTTATCTACTAATCAACTTACTGTATATGACTCGTCTTCATCATCAGCTATCGCCTGGTGCTGAGCATAGCGGGCACCTGATCAAACTTTCTCTGTGGTTCCAAACCAAATCTCTGATTTATCCCTGATCCTGTTTGTCTTTAGAGTTTCCTTCCCTTTCTCATCTGATTGTTTTCCACCTGGATAAATAAAAAAAAGAATACTTTTTCTGAATTATCCTGACAAATTCACAAATCAAGTATTTTTGTATATGTTTGTGCTGCTTTTAGGTAGAGAAACTAAAGCCACTGAGAGGGAAGATCTAAACACATCCCCTCTGACACAAACAGATTCAGCGTGTACACCAAGTACCATTTAAGGAGCATTCAGACCGTTTATATGGCACTTTCAGTCTTTTCATCCCATAGTCTCCTAGAGGATTACTCATGCCTTGTTTTCAGTGGCTGCTTGCGTTTCGGGCCTTTGAACTGCTTGGATCTATTCACACCTAGACTCCTCTCTGACTTGATTGACGCACGAATCAACTGTGTGTTGCTGATGTCTTTAAGTCTTGAGTTGGAGCATTTACTTTTTTAGCTTACAGTCCTTCCAACAGCCAGCATGGTGGATAGAAATTCAACATGTTCAGTCTAAATATCAGTCATCTTTGTCTTATCAGCTGATCCTCAAGTCACATCAAAAGAGAAAAAAGAGCAGAATATGAGTGGATGAGTGAGTGAAACCAAGACTTGGAGTGAGAGGAAGACATCCATCTAGTATGGCACAAAACTGTTCAGCTTCCTGACCACAAACCTCCTCTGGGATGAGCTGCTGTCAGAGCTGGTTTGACTCACTGAAAGACGACGTACACCTTCAGTGACTTCTTGTAGAAAGAGAAGGAAAATTCAGCTCTAATGATCATTTATAACTGATAATTTACTATTTACTGTTTGTGCACACCAATGGACAACATTTAATCTTATTGATTGAAATTATGCAAATAAGCAGTTTAGCACATCTCTTTTTTTTTGGCACAGAGGCTTTCAAAACGTGTTCCATATGCACAAAAAAACAAAACACTCCATTATTATTAGAAATGTGTGTATCTCTGATTGCATCATATTCTGCATTTACATACAACACCACCCTAAGTGTTAGGACTGCAGTAGCTCAGGTAGAGCAGTTTGTCCAGTAATCAGAAGGTTGCAGGTTCGATCTCGGCTCCCGCTGGAGAATGCCACTGCTGTCCCCTTGGGCAAGACACTTGACCCGCCTTGCCTGCTGGTGGTGGTCAGAGGGACCAATGGCACCTGTACTTGGAGCCTCGCCTCTGTCAGTGCATCCCAGGGCAGCTGTGGCTACATCGTAGCTCATCCCCACCAGGGTGTGAATGTGTGCGTGAATGGATGAGTGATACACTGTAGTGTAAAGCAATTTGGAGTCCTATGACTCCAAAAGGTGCTATATAAGTGCAAGTCATTTATCATTCGCAGTGTTTTTATAAAAATTATACATAATGAAAATAAAACTTTTCATTTATTTATCTAACCTTTTTCAGAGGTGTGGCTAAGTCACTGCTTTGCAAGTCACAAGTAAGTCAAGTCTTTCCAGTCAAGTCTCGAGTCAAGTCCAAATCAAAGACAACCAAATGGCCTGTAAATGGTAAATGGCCTGTATTTGATATAGCACCTTATAGAGTCCTGGAACCCCTCAAGGCACTTTACAACACAATCAGTCATTCACCCATTCACACACACATTCATACACTGGTGGGGATGAGCTACGATGTAGCCACAGCTGCCCTGGGGTGCACTGACAGAGGCGAGGCTGCCGAGCACACGCGCCACCAGTCCCTCCGACCACCACCAGCTGGCAAGGTGGGTTGTGTCTTGTACAAGGACACAACGACAGTGACTGAGCGGGACTCGAACCTGCAACCTTCCGATTACGGGGCGAGCGCTTAACTCCCGTGCCACCGTCGCCCACCACTAAGCCCAAGTCGAGTCCAAAGTCAATGAATTGGAAGTCCAAGTCAAGCCCAAGTCCTTAACTTTGAATTTTCAAGTCATCTGTCCAACTTACATTTAAGGACAATGACAATAAATAAATTCCAGAAATAAAGCTTCTTAAAACTTCATTTATTTGCTCAAACAAGCAGAAAGTGCAACCGAAACTGATTATAAACAAAGTGCCGCTGCATTTAGCAGTAAAAGATTAAACCCAGAACCAAGAATGATTTACAATTTTTGTCCGTGTCGTGCCATTTTTGTGCTAAAATATCAAATATGCTCAAGTCATTATCAAGTCAACAGATACAAGTCGATTCAAGTTGCAAGTCGTTGGCTTTCAAGTCCGAGTCAAGTCGTAAGTCTTTATAGATTTTATCAAGTCAAGTCAGAAATGATTAAAATAATGACCCGAGTCTTACTCGAGTCCAAGTTGTGTGACTCGAGTCCACATCTCTGCCTTTTTACAGCGAGGCCCACAAACAAATGCAGCATCCCAATTCAGATCCTTATGAGACGTAGTGGTCCAGAGGCTCTTCCAATACACCTTCATGCCCCAGCATGGCAAATGCTTCTGGGGAATAATTTCCTGATTGTTTATTTGTTTTAATAGGCTTTTAAAAATAATGTCGGCTGATGGCCGATATAGAAAAAAATTTAATATATCGGCTGGCCTCTAATATATATTTCACTATTGTTTCAAAACCGTGTAAAAGCCACTGTGCCACCTCTATTTTTTCTCTGCTTCACCCCCACAATCCTTCACTGCATCACTACCATTGTCACATGACCAAACAAATATCATATGACAGACCCCCTCCTCCTCTTGAAATGAACACTCACAGACACAGGGCAACAAGATGGAAACAAACAAGAGTTATTAATATCATCCAAGTATTAGGACCGACACCGATGTGGATGCTGATATATCCGCAGCATCTGCTGCAACTAGCTGCTGCTGCTGCTACTTGCCTCCATATGCCGGCAGCATCAAATGTAAAAATCTGTGGTTGTGTTTCTCATCTAGCCAACCTGTTGGACAGCATGTTGCTGAGAAGCAGCTGGAAGGAGACATCGGAGCAACAAATGGAGGAGAGCAGCAGCACAGCCATGGTTTCAGTTCCGGACTTGCTACGGTGTGACTGCTACCCCCAGTGCCCCGACGGCTCCGTCAACGACACATGCCTGTACGGTGGAGCATACACAGATTATAACAGACTTCTCTTCTGAGCTGTTTAATAGGCTCTGTCAAATTAAGCTAAAATACGTCCAGTTACTCCATCAGTACACAAATGTTTACTTTAGCTGCATTATTTAAGTCTCCAGAGGCACCGCTTATTAGAGCCTCCATTAACTAGTACGCTTGCTTTAAAGAGATGAAAACAAAGACTGACATTACTGTGTGTTACAGATGAGGGTATTTAAGCAGCATTCAGATACTGATGTAGAAATACAGTATGTACTAGGGATGTGTATCGGTGAAATTCTGGTGATACGATACATATCCTAGTATTACCTAGTTTTGAGGCACATTTGAGGTCTGGTAAGCTGGTTCCATCTGTGTGCAGCATAGTAGCTAAAAGCAGCATCACCCTGTTTGGTTCTGACCCGAGGTTCTTCCAGCTGACTGCTTCCTAAGGACCTCAGAGCCCTTCTGGGCGTTCATACAGGAAGGAGATGCAACGTGTATTTTGGACCCATGCTGTTGAGTTATTTATCAACTAGCAGTAGCACGTTGAAATGGATTCTGTAGTTTACTGGTAACCAGTGTAGAGATTTAAGAACAGGAGTGATGTGCTCGGTTCTCTTGGTCCTTGTTAAGAGCAGCGGCATTCTGATTAAGCTGCAGCTGCTTCACAGCTTTTTTTTTTTTGGGAAGACCATTGCAATGGCCCAGCCTGCTGTAGATGAACGCATGAATTAGTTTCCCTCTTGTCTGGACATGAGACCCCTGGTGCATTTGATGAAGGTAATAAAATGCTGATCTAGTTAGAGCCTTAATTTAAACTTGTTCACAGATAAAACTTTACTCTAACAAATCGCCCGTATCTATTTCTACCAGATGAACATTTAATTATATTTAAAAATGAAACCAAAGTTTTTATTCAAGTACATTTAGAGTTGGTTTAGCTACAAAAACAGTTTTTTGTTTTGTCCTAAGCATTTATCGGGTCAGATGTGCTTGAGACATAATGATTCATACAGTATTTTTGTGCGTTTTGGTAGGACCCGGGGTTTCTGCTTCACCATGGTTACGGAGAAGGAGGGAGGTCACGCTGTTTTTTCTGCAGGATGTTTACCTCTGGTCGGCTCAGAGTTCCAGTGCAGAGTAAGTCTGTCTTATGTGCACATTTATGCCTTGATGACTGCCGGTACTCGTCTCATGTCTCCTCCTTCATGTGGAGTTCTTCAGACCTGCCCTTGACTCACTTTGGCTCTTTATTAGCCTCGTTTAAAACTGACTTCTCCTGACTACCTTGTCCCCACATGGTGTTAAAGCCTTACTGAAGAGTTTTACAGCTGCAATAAATACGTATTACTCCGATGTCTTCATCAGTGACATTTATAAAAGAGTTTCCTGGTTTTTATGTTTGTTTGAAAGGACATGCTGAACGCACGCTTGCGGATCGTTATGGAGTGTTGCACGGATCGGGACTACTGCAACAGAAGCCTGCATCCCACGCTTCCTCCACTCGTGACTTCAGGTAGTTTTGTTCACACTGGTTCTCACACACATTCAAATCCAAGTGGTTTTTAAAGTGGGCTCGTCCCGGCCACGCTGGGCCAGTGATGGTTTAGTGGCATTTTAAATGGTTACAAACCGCAGAGTGGCGCAGCCTCCTCCTGCTGCTCAGGAGGAGCAAAGAGAGGGAGGCAGGTCAAACGGAGACTTGCAGACTTGGCTTGTTTTCTCACTCCATAATGAAAAGGACAGCCTCTCCCCAGGGCCTGCTTGAGTTTCTTGTCTCAGGATGGATGCGAGAAATATGTCCATCTGTCACTCCACAACAAACCAACACACACACACACACGCATGCACACACACTTTCTCGTTCTGTTACCCAGACTAAGATGCAAACATAAAACTTTAATTTTCATGTTTATGTGAATTTTGAAAGCCTGATTAGCCAAATCGCTGATCTAGCCATCTTTTCCATCAGTTATTTTACAAACTTAATCACCAAAATGGGATCAGTTTTGTTGTTTTTGTCTCAGTAGAACTAAAAACTCTGGCTGTTGTCAGCTTTACCATAAACAATGTCTGCAAGAACAACCCAACAGCAGAAGGCGCCATTTATTAACTTGCTTACAACCGGTAGTTTGGATTTATCGAAGACGTTTTTCCGTGTTTTCCACGGTCCTCTTATGATCCATCTTCAGCCGCCTGAGTCCGTGTGTGTCTGACTGACGTGGCCGAGGCAGAAAAGCTAGAGCACCAGAGCTGCTGCAGGCCTCTGGGGATTCTGCAGCGATGTCACCGTGACACCTGATCTGTGGGATCCAGGAACGGGATGCGATCAATAACGCGCTGTGAAAGCAGGGGTTTTGGGTCAGAACTAGGGGAATCGAAGGGGAGGAGATTATTAATCCCGTCATCTACTGACACCAGGACAAGTGTGTGTGCATTTTATATGAAGTCAGATTTATGTCATCCTTTCTTCTTTCTTTCAGAATATGTGGACAGCAACATCCAGTACATAGCTCTCTTTATCTCACTCACAGCTTGCAGCGTCCTTGCTGTCATTCTTGTCTTCTGCTACTTCAGGTATGAACAGTGTCTCCTTCACATCACTCATCAATAAATATTCACGTGGTGCTCATGAAATAATCCCTTCCTCACCTTTCTGTGTCAGATATAAACGTCAGACGTCACAACCCCCCTACAGCATTGATCTTGAGCAGGATGAGACCTTCATTCCTCCAGGGGACTCACTAAAGGACCTGATTGAGCATTCCCGCAGCATTGGATCTGGGTCTGGGTCAGGACTCCCTCTGCTGGTAAAAACAAAAAAACATGCATGTCTTTTTCTCCAGACCACTTGAGATGGAAATTTCTAAAATCCTTTTTAGGGAATTAAGAAGTTAACATTGGGACTAATTTTTTTTGTAATCAATGTTTTACCAGGTTCAGCGCACCATTGCCAAGCAGATTCAGATGGTTAAGCAGATCGGGAAAGGGCGATACGGAGAAGTCTGGATGGGCAAATGGAGAGAAGAGAGAGTGGCCGTCAAAGTCTTCTTCACTACCGAGGAGGAGAGCTGGTTCAGAGAGACAGAAATTTATCAGACGTTTCTGATGAGGCACGACAACATCCTGGGTAAGGTGGTTAGCATTCCCAACCGTTCCAGGATTCTGTCCTTATGGGACTTTCAGGAATAATTAACGTTTTTTCATCTGTTTTGTGTCATCTCCAGGCTTCATAGCAGCTGATATTAAAGGAACTGGCTCGTGGACTCAGCTCTACCTGATCACAGACTATCATGAGAACGGATCCTTATATGACCACCTCAAGTCCAACACCTTAGACATAAAAGCTCTGCTGAAACTAGCGTACTCGTCCATTTCTGGGCTCTGTCACCTGCACACGGAGATCTACGGCACACAGGGTAAACCCGCCATCGCCCACCGAGACCTGAAGAGCAAAAACATCCTGGTTAAAAAGAATGGATTCTGTTGTATTGCAGATATGGGACTCGCCGTCAAGTTTAACAGGTAAAACACTCTCCTTTAAAACTGCAGGAGCATAACTGGCAAAATATGCATGAAGTGTATTTATGTTCTGTCTCAGTGACACCAACAAAGTGGATATCCCTCCTAATCTACGAGTTGGTACTAAACGCTACATGCCACCTGAAGTGTTGGATGAGACACTGAACAGAAGCACCTTCCAGTCCTTCATAATGGCCGACATGTACAGCTTTGGTTTAATTCTTTGGGAAATGACCCGACGGTGCATCTCCGGAGGTAAAAAGAAAAAAGGATTTTCTTTTCAGATTTGGGTTTTATTATTGGTTTCTTGTTGTAAAGTGGCACTTCAATGAAAACCCGTTATTTAAGGATTATATCTGATTATAATCGATCACTCTGAGCTTTTTGTGCAAACATGAAAATAGTCTCCTACACCTATCTCCTGCAATTACTTCTGGAAATAGACGGTGAAGCTAGGATTTGAAAATCCTGACATATCTACATCACACTGTCACTTAACATTCGTGGACTCACCCATCTTGACCCACAACGGGGAAGGCTGTTGTTGTTTTAGCGTCCAGGAAACAGTAGAGAACGTCTCGGCCAGTAGAAGCTAACCGTTAGCAGTAACAACTCCTCCACACAGCAGAACCCCATCAGGCACCGTTAATAATCTTATTACAGTGGGGCATAAAAGTATTTAGTCAGCCACCGATTGTGCAAGTTCTCCCACTTAAAATGATGACAGAGGTCAGTAATTTTCATCATAGGTACACTTCAACTGTGAGAGACAGAATGTGAAAAAAAATCCATGAATTCACATGGCAGGATTTTTAAAGAATGTATTTGTAAATCAGGGTGGAAAATAAGTATTTGGTCAATAACAAAAATTCAACTCAATACTTTTTAACATAACCTTTGTTGGCAGTAACAGAGGTCAAACGATTACTATAGGTCTTTACCAGGTTTGCACACACAGTAGCTGGTATTTTGGACCATTCCTCCATGCAGATCTTCTCGAGAGCTGTGATGTTTTGGGGCTGTCGCCGAGCAACACGGACTTTCAACTCCCTCCACAGATTTTCTATGAGGTTGAGGTCTGGAGACTGGCTAGGCCACTCCAGGACTTTCAAATGCTTCTTACGGAGCTACTCCTTTGTTGCCCGGGCGGTGTGTTTGGGATCATTGTCGTGTTGGAAGACCCAGCCACGTTTCATCTTCAAAGCTCTCACTGATGGAAGGAGGTTTTGGCTCAGAATGTCACGATACATGGCCCCATTCATTCTGTCCTTACCACGGATCAGTCGTCCTGTCCCCTTAGCAGAAAAACAGCCCCAAAGCATGGTGTTCCCACCCCCATGCTTCACAGTAGGTATGGTGTTCTTGGGATGCAACTCAGTATTCTTCTTCCTCCAAACACGACGAGTTGAGTTTATACCAAAAAGTTCTACTTTGGTTTCATCTGACCACATGACATTCTCCCAATCCTCTGCTATATCATCCATGTGCTCTCTGGCAAACATCAGACGGGCCTGGACATGCACTGGCTTCAGCAGCGGAATACGTCTAGCACTGCAGGATTTGATTCCCTGCAGTTGTAGTGTGTTACTGATGGTGACCTTTGTTACTGTGGTCCCAGCTCTCTGCAGGTCATTCACCAGGTCCCCCGTGTGGTTCTGGGATTCTTGCTCACCGTTCTCATGATCATTTTGACCCCATGGGATGAGATCTTGCGTGGAGCCCCAGATCGAGGGAGATTATCAGTGGTCTTGTATGTCTTCCATTTTCTGATAATTGCTCCCACAGTTGATTTTTTCACACCAAGCTGCTTGCCTATTGTAGATTCACTCTTCCCAGTCTGGTGCAGGTCTACAATTCTTTTCCTGGTGTCCTTCGAAAGCTCTTTGGTCTTGGCCATAGTGGAGTTTGGAGTCTGACTGTTTGAGGCTGTGGATGGGTGTCTTTTATACAGATAATGAGTTCAAACAGGTGCCATTAATACAGGTAACGAGTGGAGGACAGAAAAGCTGCTTAAAGAAGAAGTTACAGGTCTGTGAGAGCCAGAGATTTTCCTTGTTTGAAGTGACCAAATACTTATTTTCCACCCTGATTTACAAATAAATTATTTAAAAATCCTGCCATGTGAATTCATGGATCTTTTTCAAATTTTGTCTCTCACAGTTGAAGTGTACCTATGACGTAAATTACTGACCTCTGTCATCATTTTAAGTGGGAGGACTTGGACAATCGGTGGCTGACTAAATACTTTTTTGCTCCACTGTATTTACTAAACCTACACCAAAACAAATCAATATATGTATACCCTCATGACTAAAACATTACCTTTAAGTGTCTCCTACAAAATAAGACTCATTATCCTGTTGTGGTCAGCTCAACCCTGATCTGGCTCTCTTCTAGTTTCTGAAACAGTTTTTCCCCCAAGTACAACATTCATTCCTACTAGAGACCACTGAAAATGTATAAAACATATGAGTAAAGGACCACTTTAATAAACAACCGTTTTTCCCTGCAGGAATTGTGGAGGAGTACCAGCTGCCCTATCATGACCTGGTACCCACCGACCCCTCATATGACGATATGAGAGAGGTTGTTTGCGTCAAGAAACTAAGACCTTTGACTGCTCATCACTGGAGTAGTGATGAGGTACTCTTTTCATTTTTAATAGATTTGTTTGACTGAAATGGAACCATGTTGTCATTAACTATCTTCACATACCAGATTAGCCAAAGCTTTGGGATTGATGTTTTCTGAATAACTGACACCTTGTTTTGGAGGGAACTCTAAACACCACAGCGTGTGTCCAGATCTTGTTTGATGATGACTTTTGGAGAGGGGATTTAGATATTGACACTTGGGTTTCTAGTGCATTTATTCCTATTGTATCTGGTCACCGAAGAACCTCACTTATATAGAACAGTGAGACACCCAGACATGTCCAAACTCAGTCACACTCTAACATTTGTGGCCTGCGTGTGGTTTTAGTGTCTACGGCAGATGGGAAAGCTGATGTCAGAGTGTTGGGCTCACAACCCGGCCTGTCGCCTCACAGCCCTGCGGGTAAAGAAGACTCTGGCAAAGATGTTGCAGTCCCAGGACATCAAACTGTGACGAAGAGTCTAGAAGGATGTCCTCGTCACCCAGAGACATGCCACAGCCACTGGCACGGGCCTCTGACAGTGGCCAGCAGAAGAAAGGGAACAAAAGGATGAAGAAGTGTGATGTAATGCTCATGATGGATTACATCCACCCAGTTACTGAGTCTGAAGCAGCTTTGCATCAGTCAGTGTTCATGTGCTTTCTGGGAAAGCTGAAAGTCCAGGTCCTTCTAGTGGTGAGGGACTCCTCGCTGTGCTCGGGTCCTACTCCTCTTCTCTAAAGCCATGCAGCATTTCATGTGTGACCGTCTTTTGTCCTGTCACAGCTGCTCTGTGTAAGTGTGATTATTTTTGTTTCTGTGAGACTCGCTGCATGAAGAGTTCACATTCAACTCCATGACAATCTCATCTGAAGACAGTCTGAGTTAAGCCTATTGACCTCAGAGTCAGATATTTATAATTATTACTATAGTGTTTCCTCAGAAACAGGATATATTGATATTCTTTAGCTAAAGTTATTAATGCGAGTCTATTTTTTGTTGCTACTTTAAACTCATGTTGAAACTGTCTCAACCTAATTCAGAACAAACCCACCACCTTACCTAAGACTGATGCTGGGTAACACCCCCCCAATAAAAGTGTCACAATTCAAACCAGCGTGCTCTATTTTTAATGTTGCATATAAATATAATTTATTATCAGTCTTAAAAATTCTTTCTTACACTTTGTACAATAACCTGACAGATGAAATGCAAGCATTTAGAAGAAACGCCGTCCGTGCTGGAAACGGGACGGGCTACATTCTCACCGTACACAATAATCGTGAAGCTGGAGAACGAGGAGGGCGATGCAGAGAATGTAGAGATTGTTTCAAAAGATGCAAAGTTTGCATAGACTGCTTTACAAAAACAGGGACAAATGTCATCAGGGGGAAGTAAAACAAACATCCAAACAATAAAGAACACTTGAACATTCACAAGTGCTGTCTCATTAAAGGAACGTCGCATTTATCACTAATTATTATACACATGATCACTGTTATATTGATGGCTTCTGCTATCTCATATACAAACATCAGAGTTTCAGCCTTCCTCAGTAAAAGTACTAAAAACATGAAATAATGTAATTATTTTGTTAATTTACCATCACACTTTGTGTCACTTATTTGGTAGAAAGCAGCTTTTTTCAGTTGCATTGGGTCTACAAAAATATACTCGTTTGATCCAAGGATCTTCATTTGTTTGGGTTTGTTGTGGAAAAGGGAATTTGTTGATTTCTCCATTCAGGAGTCAAAACAAAAAAAAAACACAGCAAAATGAATACATGACAAAGTAGAAATTAGGCAGTTTAAGAATATTTTAAAGACTACAATTAATAAAATGAAGCATAAATAACCAAAAAATACATAATGTTTAATATTACTAAATGATATAAAAGGATTTCCTTCTGGACTGATAGAACAGACCGGTGGAGTCATTAGTCCACCAGATGGCGCTATGATACAGTAAAACGTAACTAAAACGGACACATTTAACAGGCAGTATGAAAAAAAAAAGGTGTAGAAATAGGCATATTATTAAATATGTCATTAAAGAACACTACTTGTCTGTGGAGTTGCTATGGAGATGGATTTTTTTGAAGAATGGTCTTTTTTTTATTTTATCCTTTGACCTCTCGTCATGTGTCGCTGTGAGGGAATCGTCCACATCTGTGTGGTCCATCCGAGTAACCGGACAGTTTCCAAGGAAACCAGAGCCAGAAATATCCAAATCTTGTACCAGAAGGTGGACAGGAGCCAGAGAAGTGACTGGCAAAGATTCTTGTTTACTCTCCGTGTTTTTACAGCATTTGTTGCCAGCGTTTAACTGGGTCACGGCTGAGTAGACCTGGCTGCTTCTATATTCTCACTCCTATGAGCGTACACTCACTCAGGCAGCATTTATGGGTGAGAACGAGCATTTGTCACTCAGGTTGAATCCAGTTGAATGTCCTGCATTTCTCCTTTCTGATCTTTTCCCTCGCGTCTCCTTCTGTGTCTGGACGGATGTCAGTGCTCCGCCATAGCTGGAACGAGGCTGTCGTGGCGCCCCATCTCTTCCAGCACCTGGGCGAGGCGGCTCAGGTTGCCATCAGGGAAATGTTGGGCCTCCCACAGGTCCAGGATCACTCCTGTGGGACTGGATTTGGTGGCAAAGTAGTTCAGATACCTGCGTGGGAGATTGGGACAAAACGGGGAAAAGAAAACAAACGCATTAGTTAAACAGATCTTTGCTAACTTTCTTTAATTTTATCTATGTAGCTGAGAAAGGGTCAGACTTTGTTTTTAAATATGAAGCCGTTTTCAAAAATTGCTAAAATCTACATCTGAGCGACCTAGGGAGGATATTTTTGTTCTCTATTCTGTAATGTCAGACGTTCTTGCTCATTGAAGCGATGCATGTACTTTAAACATGACAGGAGAATTAAAACAGAACTCACTCCTGCGTCTAATTACAGTTGAAGAATTAATAATCATGAAAATCCGTTTTTAAATAGATTTCCTCTCTAATTAATGAGGAAAACATCGCAGACCAAAGATCTAGGTGATCCAAAGGTAGGAGAGAAGTCGAATTGGCTTCCTAATTAAAATTTCTGAACTACTGTAAGTTTTCTACATTTACTCATCAGCCAGTGTTTACACATCAACTAAACCTCCAATATAACTTTGTTTTAATAGAAAAATAACTTCGAAAATGAAAACATTTCAAGTTATGATGAATACAAAAAATTGTAATTCAACTGATGGACAAAGCTTCACAGCAATTCAAGTTTTTAAATCAACCACTCATTTTCTCAGCTCCGTTTCTCTTCACCCATCAGTCACTCCAATCAATTACAACCTCTGGCCTCTAAAGTAATTTTAATTATTAAAACATTCTTTTCAAGTCCTCTAACGATATGACATAAAATATTTTTGAATTATAATGCTGCTCATTTTATCAGAACCTGCAGGAACTAGAACATATGGGCATTACACTGATGTTTAAGATTTGTAAATAAATCTTAAATATATTTGAACATCTGTATCCTGCAAGAATACACTTCTGCTATTCTTATCCCACTTGTGCCTATGAAGAGTACCGTTGACCTGGTACACATTTATTATTTTTTTCCTTTATACTTTTTTTGATCCCCTTGGGGACAGTTCCCTGTATTTAACCCACCCTTACATTAGTGAGGAGCAGTGGGCTGCAATTTGTATCATGCTTGAGGCAAATTTAGGGATCAGCATCTTGCCCAAGGATGCTCCGGCATGTAGTGAAACTTTGTTGGGGCTCACATTGACCCAGGAGCCCTGATATATAGCCAAACACAGCCTCTTAATAAAGCCCTACAACAGAAAGACTGGTTTACCCCGCCCACTTGGCCCAAACATGAATTTTACATGAGCTGATCGGCCAGTGACAGTGTGTGTTTGTTTCGGTGTATAATGGTTGTATAGTGAACAAGCAAGGACCGCAAGATGTGGCTCTATCTGGCATTCATTCAGAGTCGGAGTTTTCCAGTGCTCATTCTTTGTTTTTTCCTCTCATCAAACAAAGACCGTTGCAGCTGTTTCAGCTAGCGTTAGCAGTAGCCTGAACTAGCATTAGCAGTTGCTTGAGCTAGCTCTAGCAATAGCTAGCGTTGTTTGACGATTAGCATTAAAGCAACCAGCGTTTATATTAAGGATGCTCGATACTGGCTTTTGTACCGAAATCCTACATCTGAACAAACTCTTAATTTCTGAAACCAATATAAACCGATACCGACATATGCAGGGTCCCCACAAATAAAAAGTGAAAATAATTAGGTTGCTAAAATCTCAAATGTCCCATCACTAATGCTCAAGCTTCAAACCTTAACAAAATAACAGATCTATCTCATAAATGGTATGCAGCCTTGAAAAAGTGAGTTTTTAGTTTAGATTTGAAGATGAGGAGGGAGTCAAGTTCCGGTTGGCCCATGGCAGAGAGTTCTAGAGTCGAAGAGCAGAGCAACTGAAGCATCTCAGGCCCATGGAGGTAAGACGGAAGGATGGAACAGTACGGTGGACGGAAGATGACAGTCTTAGGGAATGGACTGGAGAAACAAAGTGAATGAGATCAGATGTGAACAGCTTTGAAAGTGAGAAGTAGGACTTTGAACTCAATCCACTGGGGAGCGAATGGAGTTGCTGAAGGACCGGACTGTACAGAATGTGGTGAGATAGGAGAGTGCCAGTGATGACCAAGTTAGTAATAGGAAAAAGCGTCTTGTTTCACTTGTCTCCAGCAGAAGCTGAATGACATTCTCCCTGAAATAAACCTGACAAACACTTGGTCACACCGTTAGTTCACGACGAGAAAAAGTTTGATTCTTAAGTAAATAAATAGCACAAGTAAATTCATGTTAAAAAGTTTAGAAAACTGAAACTGACCATGGATTTCTGTGATGTGTCTCATTTCTTGTTGTATTGACTTGGGACAATTCTGGAACATCTTGTCCTTTTGTTTTAATCATTATACGTTTTTGTCCGTTTGAACTGGTTTAAATGTGCAGCAGTCTCTTTATTAGGGGACGTGGGGCTGAGCCCCACCAGATGGCGCTGTTGAGCTCTATGTGTGCTTAAAAGAAATCATTGGGCCAGAAGATTCTCTTAAACGCATTTGGGTGTTTATATCTAAGTTTTTACCAGGACACTGACAAACTCAGGGGACTAAATCCTCTTGGAAAACCTGAGAAAGGGATGTTGTTGTGTTGGCCCGTCAGTGTCCATTTTAAAAGAGAGTTGAAATCACAGTGCTCATGCTCAAGTCACTCTCAGTGGTAAGTCGTAGGGGCCGAGAGACTCCGGCCCCAAGCTCAGATCATCCAATCAATAGATGAGCAAAACGCACGTGAGTTCCTGTTTCTCTTTTGTGGGACAGCAGCAGCCATGCTGGTCATGCTGGTGAGCTAACAATGAGGACAAAATTGCATTTTAAAGAATAGATAAATCTTTATATTGGAAATGTCTGCCAATTGTTTGCTGTTTATACTTTGATTGGTGGACTGTATTTATACATCCTGAACCTAAAAAGTATTCAATCAAAACGTTGTTTAGCATAAATAGAAAATGTTACATGTGAACTACTGAGATGTTTGAGGTCTTCCCTCCTCCACGCTGCACTCAGTGAGCGGTCCCGTCAGTCTGCAGCTGCTGCCTGTGATAAGGCCATCCTGCTGAGCTGGGATCTTATAAATGGATGCACACTGTACCAACCATCGCACGCACGCACACACACACACACACACACACACACACACACACACAACTATCAAAGTCACATGCAGAAGTGCATCTCTCTCTCTCTCTCTCTCTCTCTCTCTCTCTCTCTCTCTCTCTCTCTCTCTCTCTTCCCATCTGTCTCCATTCACTCCAACTTCATTAATCTCAATCCAGCTGATGCTTATCTCAACAAGTCACAGGACAATCACAATCTAATTAAAAATAAAATGCTTATCTACAAATTCTTCCCCATGCTATCTTCATGTCTGCATCTAATGAAAATGAATGCTCAGCAGATAGATTTGAACCGGAGCGTGATTTTAAGTATTTATTTTGTTTTGTTGATAAAATAAAATCTGCCCGATTAAGATTTGGTGGTGAGCATAACTAAAGCCTCAATGCCTCCCTCACCCACCTGTCAAGGTTAAGTTTATGGGCTAGCATCCTCCAGTCGTTGCCTCTGGTCTGGGGCGCATCCAGGCTGCCACACAGCTTCTGTCGAATAGAAACGGGGATCCGGAACGCATTTGGGCCAACCAGCGTGGTGATGTTACTGGCAGGGTCCAACAGAGAGGTGTCAATACTCTGGGAGTCCTGCAATAACAGGGGAAAACAGGCAAATGATGCCAATTAGAGCTAAAGTAAAGCAGTTTTTCTAAATATTGCATCTGGAGGATAAAGTGTTGGAGTAAACCAGATTAAGAGCCAGAAAGCCAAGCAGGGACATAGCTCTGCCCTGCATGTGCTGTAATTGATCTAATTACAGAGCACAAAGGCCAAATCCTCCTCCATCCCTCAAGTTTTATTCTTTCGGGCAGATGTTCTCTGCAAAAACAAAAAAGGTCCAAGGGACTGAAGAGCGCTTATTCCCCTGGGACCACTCTGTTGTTTGAGCAGATCTGCTAGAAATAAAATGAGAAGAATGCAAAAGATTTATTGAAGTCTGCTGCTTTTCACATTTTGGTTGAGAATAGATATTCCTTAGAATAAAACACTGTAATCAAAGGAAATAGTAATTTAAATGCAAAAAACAGACACATTTGAAAAGGTTTAAAAGTAACACATCAGCCATTAGTCCGAGGCTAAGGGAGGCTACAAAATTACAGACTGGCTTTGTTGCTAATGGACTTGTAAGTAGTAATATTTTTTGTCCAACAGTGTGGATCTTTTACTTTGAGCAGGGCCGTTGCTAGCTATTTTGGTGCCCTAAGCACAAAGTCTTCGTGGTGCCCCCCCAACACACACACACAGAAAAAACAACACAATCACTGGCATGTGACATGACTAAATTCAAAACTATTTAACCTTTATTAAGAACTAGAGAGGCGCAATATACACATTTTATACACAACTAGAAAATTCTGAATATGAAGGGAGGAGGTTAGCATAATGGACTTTTTTCTTCAAATTATACCATCAGCAGCTGATGTTCCTCTTGGCCCGTAAATGTTTATGAAATATATATCAACATAGAGCAAATACCTAATTTGAAAATAGGTTTATCTAATTTTTCATATTAAATCTCAGTTACATAGCCTATAGGCCACATAGGCTATTTAATAAGGATATAAATCATGTCCATAGTTAACTCATGATTAATCACAAACAGCCGCTTATTTTTTTTTAAAAAATCTTACTTTACCTTGACAGTGTTTTTGTCCTTCCTGTTTTTGTGATATTTATCAAGTATTTGGGTGGACAAATATGATTCATTTGTTTATTTCTGTTTCAAAACAGCACAGATGGGCCTATCTGACCTCACAGAGGAAACTTTACTTTACTTGAGAAAGATGTTTTAAGATGAACTTATTAAAACAAAAAAAATCTTCAAACTCTTCAAGGTTTATTTTCAGATTAACAACCTTTAACACTGTTCAGACTTATTTGTTGATACAAGTCGCATGAACAGGCTGAATAAAAGGATTTTCCCCTTTGTTGCATTTAACTATTTTTCTTCTTTAAAGAGCTGATTCAGAAGAGAATAACTGATGACTGCTACGTTTTTTTTCTCCAGCAGTAAAAAAGCTCTAAAGCTTCTCTGAGTTTCTCTCCCTCTCAGCCTCTCTCACTCAGCTACTAATGAACGCCCGGTAGGCAGGGTCAGATTAACACTTCGTCGTACCCTGGGCAACAATATTCAAGGGCCCCATCATCACGACCCAAGGATCACCATAATATGGTCACATACAGAATATTTTACTGTAATATGCAGTAAATATTCTATATACTTGAATGCCTGACATCACGTGACCCGCTCAGGGTAACCTTTGACCCACCTTGTGTGGACTGACCAATGGGGAGAGGGTCTTAACTTGAGGCCCTCTCTTCATTGGTCAGTCTGCACGAGACTGACTCTCAACTGACGTTCAAAGTCCTAGGCAGCGAAGCGTCTCTGTGCAGCGCAAAAGCTCGGGTGGACAGTTTGTTTAATACAGGGTGACCATATTTCCATTTCCAAAAAAGAGGACAGAGGATCTGTGCCTATGATGTCACACTATGGCAACGCCACACAACGCTGGGACCCATTTTTTTGTAAGAACTAAATTAATATCGTCAGTCGTCAGTTTGCCTTGGCCCCCAAAATGTCTTGAAATGGCCCTGGGTCTGTGACTGAGTTTTGAAGGTGATCTGAATTGTATCAGATGTATAATTATTACATGTGTATAACTTATTGCTTTATACAGGTAAAAACGTGTCGTGGAGATAAATCTACCTACATTTTACTTTTCAACACTTTGTTTTGTTTTGTTTTTATTTAACTATTTTCCTGTCCTGTCTGTCTCTCATCTTCCTGCATCTCCTCTAAACTCTCCAGAAAAACTGCTGACTGGATTCTTAATTTTTCACCTCATCAGTTACTTTTGAGCAGATCAAAGGGATCTCCTGACCGCAAAGCAGTGAGCGCGTTTCAATGCTGCGTCAGTGAGGTGAAATCACCGCAGCACAGGTGATGAGCTCTGCAGTAGCAGAGCGCTTCAGGCACAAATAAGACAGAAAATAGAGAACATGTGCGGACATGAACGATCGTGTGTTGTAGTTTTTTGCTTGCGCCACTTTGAGAATGGACCGTGCGCTGGAAGCAGCAGCCTGGATCGCTGCGCAATAACGCAGCGCTGTGCCGCTCTCTGTGCTCTCTGCTCAAAAGAGTCCATAAATGATGTAATATAGGTAGAAAACTTGTTTCCGGCTCCCCTGGGTGTGTAGGATATACAGCTCCCCCATAATTTGATCCCTGCTCCTGGATGAAAAGCCGGACATTTTCATCAATACAAGAAACCCCAGTCCGGACGCCCGGACAGAGTGAAAAGCGGACACGGTCCATCTCCTTTCCTTTTTGTATTGTTTTCTCTCTGTAAACATGCTGTTAACTTGCTTAGCACATCTTCTAATTTAAATCTGTCTTTATCATAAATATATTATTTTTTCATAAGCTTGCATTTGGTGCCCCTCCCCCAGAGTGGTGCCCTACACGCTATGCGTGGTGTGCGTGTGCGGAGCGCCGGCGCTGACTTTGAGGCTTATTTAGGTATTAGCTGGCTCATGTTAGTGTTAGCTTGTTGTTAGCGCTAGCTACAGCAGGGTTGTTTACGACTGTTGTACTTCCACTTTCAAACAGTAGGGTGCCAATATGTAGAGGTCACGGTCAACCGATGTCCGTGCTACCGATTGTTTGGGTCGATTTTCATGATTGTCGTTTGCAGAGCCAAGTATGTCGGCTAATCCTTTCCCAACAATGCGGCCCGCCAGTCTGAAGTTGCAAGTTGAATATTCTGGCCACAGGGGGCGACAGGAGCTGGGTGGCCTTTCTTTAACCCTGTGAAAGGTCATTTTAGCACATACTGGCTCAAGAAAATGGTTTAAAAATAGGAAAATGTTGCTAAGTATCCCTTTAAATGAAATTCAACAGCAGCACCAAGCTGCCCATAGATATGCCTGACTTTAAATCAGCTCAACTAAAGAGGTATATCGGCCAATTCTGACATACAAGAAGAGGTAATCTAATTTTTGACTCTGCATTTGCACAGTGGCATGGATCGCTGAACACACAGAGGCTAAGTAACTTGTGTTTTAGGTGAATAAAACATTATACAGATGTATTTTACATAATTAACACTTGTTAGCTGATATATGACCATGGTTTTATAAATAAAAATTCAAACAGTACCTCTGAAAGGGTTGTATCCAATTGAAAAATCTGTCCTTCTCCTTCCACTTGGCGCACACAGATCTTACAGCTCAGGTCCACCGTGCTGGTGGAGAATCGCTCCAGAGTAAAGCAGCAGTGGAGGTTCCTCTGTGAACCGCTCCACACCTGCTGAAAGGAGAGCTCCTGCAGAGACGAAAGGGTAGAAGAGTCACTCAGACCGTTGCTATCATTGTTGGTCTCATTCTGAAAGCATGTATGGCCGCTTCACCTGGTACTTGGCTAGAAGCTTGCTCTTCCACAACGTGTGGGGGACGTCATGGATAGAGAGTCTCAGATTGTGGGTGCTGTCTTTAAAGTTCAGGGTCTTTGGTTCGTCCAACAATTTCCCACCCATCTGCTTCTCCATCTGCAAAACTTCCTGCGTGCACAAACATTCTTTTTTAGCACAAATACTGTGCACGTCGACCTCAGAATGTTCTAGTGCCTGCTGTTTGTGAAGACGATTCCTAGAGCTGCCAGTCTGAAGGCAAATTCAATGTCCTTGCAGCAGGATCACTATCACTTCTAATTATCCCTTCCCAAATTTAATAACTGTGTTCAATATCGCCCCTCAGTGCAATAATTCCTCCTTATCTGTCCTCCACATAGGTGCATCCATGTATTAGACAGAGTGGAAGCGACGTGGGGAGGAATAAATGTGGCTCATTGCATCGATGTCTTTTGAGGAGCGGCACAGCCTTTCACATACAAGCCCCTCCTTATTGTGACACGCTGGTGCTAAAGGTTCTCACTCTTTGTCGTTCACCACAGCTGCCATCGACGTCGGTGTGCAAACAACTCACTCACAATAAAAAGTTTACAAACTAACAATTTAATCCCTCCAGAATAAGCTTGAGCAAACAGAGATTAGACACAATCTGCTGAATGTACCTTCAGTGCGTCCTGCGTGTCGTCCAGGCAGTATACTCTGATGTGGTACTCCATGGCGGGGCAGGTGACAGGGCCAAAGATGGCCAGTTTGAGACGCTTGATGGTGGAGGCGCTGAGAGACTGGCCCACGAGGCAATAGGTACCCAGGGTCTCTGTCAGGATGTGACACGCCTCCTCGTCCATTTGGATGTAGCATGGTGTGGTGAAATTCTCCTCCCCGACCACCACCACGTCCTACAGCGGAGACATGGAGCAGCAAGGAAAAAAGAATTTTAAAGAGGAAACATTATGACTTATTTCTTAAGTTATAACAGTTCTACGGCCGATGCAAACATGTTTATGAAATTATTTGGACTAAATCCCTGTCACATAAAGTGATCTAGCAGTTTTATTCTTGACATTTTCAATACCTTCCAGAATGAGCCGTCACTTTAAGAAAACAAGAAGCTTCAGGCCCCGCCCACCACTCCACTGCTCAGGCTGCTATAAGCTGAGAAGCTCCAATATTTAGGATGGGCTCAAAGTAGTGCGAGAGGAGGTTCTATGCTAATTTCCTTGTTTGTGACATCACAAGTGGGGCCTTTTTTATACGTCTCATTTTACATGTTTGCAGTGTTTATAGATGCAGTAGAGACCCACACGGCAGCACAAAAGAATGGAAATGGGGAGTTTTTCATCATGTGTTCCATTTAAAAACTCACATTCCTTCATTATTCAGCTTATGATGCCCCGCCCACTTATCTTTTTCTGGTTTTGACCATTTTAAGTCAGGCGACTGAACTATTTTGTAACATTCTAGTCTTAAAAAGCTAAATTACTTGCATCAGTTAAAAATTCCAAATGTAGTTTGTTCAGTTTTTTTGAAGTGGGGTTTTGTAAAAAGATTAGACGCATTAATAACCAGTAACATTAACTTACCTGTTAAATTTCACATTTCAGTGTTAGGATAGCAGAGCCTAAAATGCATCACGTAGCCCTGCTGCTGATAAATATAGAATTCTATGTAAATAACCATTAAATATATTTATAGCACATAAAGGTTATTTAAGTTGTGCTTGTGTCAATTTCTATGATATTTTTAAGATTAAAGTCAATTAAAGTGTTATATAAATAAAATTTACTTTACTTAGTAAAGTTGACAACAAACCCACTTTAGAGCTAACCTGGCTATGATTAGCCGTTAGCTTGTCAACAGGCGTGGTTCACGGCAAACATTTGGACTTGGGAGAATGCGTTAACAATGGCTGCAATCCACTTCTACAGCTGTTTATCACGATAGATCTGTGAAACCAATGAGAAGAACCCATTAACGCACCTGTCCCTTCTCTATTCTTGATTCTCCCGACTCAAGTCTGTCATGGAGCTAAATCTACAACAGGTAGGCTTGTTCATAATCCTGCACACTTAAAAAATCTGAACTATTCTCTGCTGATGAATGACAATAAAGGCTAATTTGTAAACTTGCTAAAGTCTGAGCTAAAACTGTAATTTTATAGTGAAAGTCAGAATTAGAATCCAGGCATTATCCTCTAAGTGGCCTCCTTTTGAAATATGAATGCGTGTTTTACCGATGCATGACCTGGAACGACCTTTGGCCATTATATAAAACAGATAATGGAAACAGGCCATTTGTAGTTGACCTCTGTAACAGCTCTGATGCCTGGACATATTTCTCTTTCATTAAGACCGTCTGGTCTGGGGAGACTCACCCCCTCGGTGTCTGTTTTTATCCTCTCCTCTCTCTCTCTCCATCTCTCTTAATCTTGAGCTTTGTCTTTCTGTCATCCACGCTCTGCTACAAACACTCCTGCGAGCAGCAGACTGGTATTAAATCAACCCATTATGAGAGACAGAAGAGGAATTACAGCGTTTTTGTGTGAGCTAGGCCATTTAGCAGCAGTATTATGGCAGATCATTAGACTCTAACTTCTCCTGTGGGACGGCACCGCTGCTTCGTTTTGAGGATAATTAGAACACACTGGGAAAAGTAGGCTTCTGCTTTGAATGTACACTTTGTGTGAGAAACAATCAAGCGCAGAAGCTTTAATTTAGTCTCAAACTGGTTTTATCATCTGAACGTTTTATCTGAAGGATTTTTATAGAATGACTGCAACTGGAAAGTCCCGCATTCCCCTCCTGTATAACCTACAGTCTGAAGTGTGTGCGTGTGTGTGTGTGTGTGTGTGCGTGTGTGTGTGTGTGTGCGTGCGTGCGTGTGTGTGTGTGTGTGCGTGTGCGTGTGCGTGTGTGTGTGTGTGTGTGTGTGTGTGTGTGTGAGGTCCGGGATGAACTGTGTACACAAATATCTGTGAATGACTTCCTCTGTGAGGCTCTTCCTCACAGCTTCTATTAAAAAGATGAATATGCATTCTGATAGCTCGTGTCATGAAGTTGTATTTTATTCACACAGCATGACGATTTTTCCTCAGCGGAGGGAGACGTTCACATAAAGGAAGCTGCAGAACAGTTTAGTGTCTGCAGCTCTAACATGTCAAAGATTTTAATCAGAACGTATTCCTATTTCAAAGAAACCTCAGTTTTATTAGATATCCCCAAAGTAATTTATCAAAGACACCAAGGCATGTGGGTCCAGGGTTTCTTTTCTTTAGCTTTAGGGTTTTCTGGAACTACTGGCTTTCAAAACAATATTTATTAATAAGTCGACAGCAAGCTCCATATTGGACGCAGGCTGATTCTAAGCGAATAGATTCACTGTTGCTGAAAGCGCAGTATTGACCATTTTGATTTTATTATATCACTTTAAAGCGCTTTGTTGTGCCTTAACACTTCCTATTCTTCTTGCTGCAGCACAGCTGCATCCATGTTTAGGGTTCAGGTTTGTGAGCTCATTATAAACGCCGTGGATGCAGACAATTGCTCTCTGCACCGGTGTGTTATTAAGTATGTGTTCCCTTACATATTTATTTAGTTTAGGATTTTTTTGTCTCTCTTAAAGAACTTGTATGCTTGTTTTTTTCAACACAACTGCAGTGGTCTCTAGTCAAAATGAACACCCTGTGAGTCAATCTCTGTGGGCAAAAAGGCTGGCGCTCCTGTTTCAGGAAGTGGAAGATAGCCGGAGGAGAGGCGAGCTGAACACGGCAGAATTTAGGGTCTTATCTCCTGATATTCAGACATTCCGCCTCTGATTGACAAACAGCAACTCGACTCTTAAGTTACTGACTTTGTTTGCTTTGCAACGCTGATGTTATAGCTCAAAAAAAAAAAAAAAACACAAGCCCGGGGGAGTTCTGCTGTGTGGTGGGGTTTGAAAACACTAAAGTAGGTGACCCCCACTTTCCACCAGATGTGAAAGCGTCGTGAAACGGCCATGAAACATACTTTGCAGCAATTAGCAGTTGTTATAGGACAGGTTCCTTTCCACTGGCTGCAAGGCGTCACATTTTGGACATGTTCCAAAAGCAAAAGGACATTTTGATCATGTTTCAAGTCTATTTTTACGCGCTATGCTGCTAAAACACGTTGAACTTTTCTGTTCAGATCGGTTCAAAAAGGAAGTCAAACACAAAAGCTCTGTAAAACATGCAGAAAGTCACATGCAGATTTCCAGATGCTTAACTAGTGAAAAACGTACGTTTTCTGTGAAACCTCCATAGCCGAGGTAAACAAAACACAAAATAAACCACAGACCTTTTTGAATACACGCAGCCGTCTTTCAACTCGCTTGTTATCGAGTGAAATTCTAAAATCATGCTTAGTGGTGCGGTTCTCCTGGGATGTTTTGACCTCGCAGGACCAGCTGGGTGGAACAGCTCTGCTCCCGTTTCACATCTGAATCGCTCCTGGTTGGAAAGGAGCTCGTGGGTAAAACGCCTCTATTACGTTACATGCCGCTTTCGCGTCCGGTGGAAAGGAGGGGTGAGGGGAAAACAGTTTATTTAATGACAGTGTTTTCAAACGGACACTAGGGGTGTTAAAGCAAAGTGTCCTGGTGTCCTTTGAAGACACGAGTAGGGAATCGTGGTCCATCGAGGGCTGCTATCCTGCCTGTTCTAGTCGTTTTCCTGCTTCAGCTCACCTGATTTTAACAGCAGGCGATTAACAGGCTTCTGCAGACCTTGATGAGCTGCTGAACAGGTGACTCAGGAGGTTTTTTTTTTTATCTTTTATTTTCATTTATTGACATTAAAATAAAAATACAATCAGGACTAAATTGCTGCAAGCCAAAATGAAAAAGGGGACAGAAAGAAGAAAAACTTATGTTGTCTGCCCCTTTTAACTAAAATAGCATTAATACAAATGAAATAATCATATGACTCTTAAGGAAATTGAACAATATAGTTCCTGGACTTGTTGGCCGACAAAATCTCAACCCATGAATTTGAGAAAAAAATAGAAAAAGAAAACAATTTACACAGAAAGAAGCATTAAGTTACAGATCTATATACATACATATATACACATACAAGCACATACTAGGTTAATATTTTGTTCCTTTAATCCCCCCCACCCCCCTCCCCTCACACATTCATGTAACGGATCTATATAAGTTAATCGTTTTATTTTTTATCTCTTTTTTGAAAGTCAATATTGTTTTTGCATTCTTGAGATCAGTATTCAATTTATTCCACAATTTAACTCCATATATGGAGACACAATGTTCCTTTAGGAGTATCCGATGTCTAGGTATATTAAATAATTCATGTCCCTTTAAATCATATTTGCTATGTCTTTTTGAAAATCGTTTAATTAATCCTGCAGGTACGTTCCTTTTGTTTGCATTATACATAAATTTTAAAATATTGTAGTCCACCAGATCATAGAATTTTAGTGTTTTTAATTTAATAAATAATGGATTGGACGGATCTCTGTAGTTGCTCCTTGTGATTATTCTTATTGCTTTTTTCTGTAAGATGTAAATGTAATTTGTGTAAGTTTTATATGTTGTTCCCCAGATTTCAATGCAGTAGTTCAGGTATGGTACGATCAGTGAGTTATATAACAAATATAATGAATTATTATCAAGCAACCCTTTTGCTCTATGTAAAAGTGCAATCGTTTTAGATATTTTAGTTGTGACACTGTTTATATGTAGTTTCCATGACAGTTTTTCATCAATGATGACTCCCAGATACTTGACTTCTTGAACTCTTTTAATATTAATCTCATCTATATTTAATAAAATTTCATCATTTGAATTTGTATTACTAAATATCATAAAACAGGATTTATCACTGTTTAATGATAGTTTGTTTCCATCAAACCATAGTTTAATTTTTTTCATCTCTGTTTGTATCACTTCTATCATCTGCTCAACATTATCTCCTGAATAGTAAAAAGTTGTATCATCTGCAAATAAGGTGCATTTTAATATATTGGATGCCTCAACAATGTCATTTATATAAATGATAAATAGTTTAGGGCCCAATACCGACCCTTGTGGTACACCACAAGTAATGTTATTTATATGTGATTTTGTGTTGTTTATTTGAACATATTGCTGCCTATCGGTAAGATAACTTGTTATCCATTTTAGGGCCATCCCTTTGATGCCATATTTACAAAGTTTTTTAATAAGAATTGTATGATCCACTGTATCGAATGCTTTTTTTAAATCAATAAAGATACTTATGAGACGATTTTTTTTGTCAAGGGCTTCCGATATTTCTTCTGTTAATTCCATTAATGCCATGGATGTTGAATGATTTGTTCTAAAACCATACTGACTGTCATTTAATATCTTTTCATTGATCAGGAATCGGTCCAACCTGGCAATATATAATTTTTCTAATATTTTTGAGAATTGTGACAATAAAGATATTGGTCTGTAGTTGGAAAAGATATGTTTGTCTCCACTTTTATGAAGTGGTATGACATTTGCAATTTTCATCCTGTTAGGAAATGTCCCTGTTGCAAAAGATAAATTACATATGTAAGTCAATGGATGAATAATACTTTCTATTATATTTTTTATTAATGTTATGTCTAAACCGTCACAGTCAGTACTTCTTTTATTGATGCAATTATTGATAATATTTCTTATTTCATCACTAGTTACTGGACTTAAATATATACTGTTTTTATTGCTTTTGATATTCTCACCTATACTATAATTTATTCTTTTTGGAATGTTTTTTGCCAGGTCAGGTCCCACATTAGTAAAAAAATTGTTAAATTCATTTACTATTTTACTGGTTTCACTAATTTCAGCAGGGTTGGAGCAGGGAAACAGCTAAAACATGCTAGATACCAGCCCTCGATGACCAGAGTTCCCCACCCATGCTTTAATACATTTTTTTAGTAAAAGGACAAATGTGAGACGGGTTTTGTGTTCTTATGGTCAGCAGAGGTTTTGGCCCTAAAACTCTCCCCTGATTCCATTTCTGCCCCTCCTTAACTAAACTCCTGCTCTTTAGATGTTGCCATTTCTAATTAAATAAAGCTGCCTTGCTTAGTGAAACGTAGCATAGCTTTGTCTGTGAAGGTTCTCAGTCATCCAGGTCATTGTAGTCTAATGAGCTTTGAAAGAAAAGCGTCTGGACTTCTTTGAGTTGCTTGAAGACATTTCACCTCTCATCCGAGAGGCTTCTTCAGTTCTAAGGTCAAATGGTGGAGAGTCCCAGATTTAAACCCAGAAAGAAAGACAAAACTCCTAAACACAAACTGAACAATGTGGTGTATGCTGTACAGTGCAGCGAGGAATGCCCAGACCTCTACATCGGAGAAATCAAACAGCCACTTCACAAGTGCATGGCACAACATAGAAGAGCCACCTCCACGGGACAGGACTCAGTAGTTCATTTGCATCTAAAGGACAAAGGTCACTCTTTCGAGGATGCCAACGTTCACATTTTGGACAGAGAGGACAGATGGTTTGAAAGAGGAGTAAAGGAAGCCATTTATGTCCACTGTGAGCAACCATCTTTGAACAGAGGCGGTGGTTTACGACACCAACTGTCTGCCATCTATAATCCAGTTTTGAGATCCCTTCCCAGATGCCTCAACGCCCACGCATATCCTGGGCCATCTGACCTCAGGAATTCACATGATAGGGTGGGGCCAGGTTTCACAATGAGCTCACCCGAAACTCTGGCTGAATAGGACCCACACCCACCCTCACACCTTGGCTCATGTGTTTATGTAGAAGATCATCAGGGGGTCTTTTGTTCCCTCTTCGGGGGGAAACTCCCACGGGGTTTAAATCTGGGACTCTCCACCATTTGACCTTAGAACTGAAGAAGCCTCTCGAATGAGAGGTGAAACGTCTTCAAGCAACTCAAAGAAGTCCAGACGCTTTTCTTTCAAAGCTCAGTAGCACAGCTTTCCAAATAAAGTTGTTAGTCACAGTTAATTATGATTAAACAAGTGGAGACATTATTTTCTCACATAGAGCCCGGTTGGTTTGAACATTTTTTATAAATTGTTTGCTAATGCAAAACAATTAAATGACACAATTAGACTAAATCTGTGAGCGGAGGCTACTGTTCATATTTTTCACAGCAGTTTCCCATCTACATAATTGTGTCATCTAGAGTAACCAACGTGTAACATGTTCAAACTCCAGAGTCTGCTGCAGCACAGCACCTCACCTCCCACTGGTTCTGCTGCGACTGACTCCTGAGCTGGATCAGCCAGTCCTGCTGGCCGTCGCACACTGCACAGTGGTGCATGGTGATGATGACGGGCCGAGTCAGCAGGGCCCCAGGGGGGCCACAGCTCACCACGGGGCTCAGCACAGTTTGGCCATCATCCAAAGACGGCCTGGAAGAGCAGAAGAAGAAAACAACTCACATTTACACACAAGCTGTTCACAGAGAGTGTGTGTTTGAGAGGCATGGTGGAGCAGACAGCTCTGGGGTGTTGATGTGGCTCTGTACCTCAGGTTGTCCTTCCTCTGAACAGTCACGTACATCTCATAGACTCTGCCTTGGGGAATGGCCCCTGCTGGAATTAGCAGACTGACCCCTGAGGAGAACATGAGCAGAAAGCACTAATGAACAGGTGTGTTACTGAAGCTGCGAGTTGTCCACTTCAAACGCCTGTCTGAACTCATCACAGGAGAAAGTCTACGAACAAAACCTTTACTTTCTCTAAACTCTCATTCACCTGTTTTCTTTTAAATCCCGTGGTTTCTGGTAGACTTTATGAGTCATTCTCTGTCACAAAAATACAGCTCTGGCGCTCCTGTTTCAGCAGAGGTTAGCTGGAGGAGTGCGTGTGTGTGTGTGTGTGTGTGTGTGTGTGTGTGTGTGTGTGTGTGTGTGTGGTAGGATTTGGAATCCGTTTCATACTGAATGCAGTACAGACATGGTCCAACTTCTGTATAACTTCTGTACTTACACCTACAATGATCATCCTAACAGATTCAATCCAGTTAAAAAGTATGTTGTTTTTGTTTGTTTTTTACTTTTTATACATGCTCCAACTTTCCACGGCATTATTTTATTTTTGCACTCTCGTGATATTAAATGATGCAGCATGTTTTTTTTCCAGGATCAATGATCTCCCTTCTCTTCAGAGCATCCCTATTAAAACCGCAGCAGACGCGATTTACATTTTTCCATCTCAGATTGATTTGAAACGAAGTCCCTCTCCCTCTTTTAGAATCCGATCCCCCAAATTCCCCCATGCATACACACAATCACCGCTTCTCTCTCAGGAGGGGGGGGGGTGTTTCTAAGATAACTCATTGATTTCTCGCGTCCTTGTACTGAACTACTTCTTCAAAAAATAAATAAATAAGGTGACAGAAAATCTCGGCTCAGCTCACAGAGAAACCTGTACACCAAATGTAAAACACACTTTAAAATGCAAACTGCAGTTGCACAAATACACTTCATTACCCAGACACGCAAGTGTTTCCTCCTCTTGCTTGTGTGACACGATGAGGAGGCTAAGCACCAGCAGCAGCTGAGGACTTTTCACAGGTATCATAAAGAATAATGACGAGGAAAAAAAACTGCAGAAATGTGAGAAGTGCATCCCTGAATGTCACAGCTAGTTTGTCTACGGCTGTCAACATTCATCTGTGTTGTGATCCTTCCGGCGAGTGTGTGTTTGAAGTGGAGACAGCATGGCTAATGTAAGCTGCCTGAAACTAGAACACCTCAGTGCTTCTGGTGCAGGCACCTCAGGTATCCATCAGCTCTTGTCACACTGAGCAGGGGCTTCGCTGATAACTTGCATATGGCCAAGCACATCACTTCAAAGTCACATGTGTTTGTGTGTTTTTGGGAGAGGGAGTGAAGTAAGGTCTGAAAGTAGAACACCAACAATACTGTACACGTGTCATGTTTCAGATTTTAAAAAGATTCTTTGTAATCCAGTTCTCATGTCACTGAACAAATGGAATTATGGAATATGATATTTAAAAAAGAGTCTTTTTCCAAGACATAAAAAAAACAAATCTTATTGAGTAATGTCATCCAAATGACTGAATATTCTTTATATTTAATGTTCTTCAATTTTTCTATTACTTGCCCTCTTTTGAAAAGCAAAAAGGGTGAATCTGTCTGTATTGTTTGCTAAATACCCATGAACTATCGGAAAACGTTGAAAGAAACTGTCAGAAAGTACCCACTGGATGTCGATGAATAACTGATGCAACATTCAGGTCAACCCATTTTGAATTAGACAACAGAGAAATGTTTACGTTTCCTTGTTTTCGCTTGGCTTCCCGGGGCTGGTGGCTAGGAAGGGGAGCTGGCCGTCTGGTTGGGGTCTGGGGTGGTGGGATGCTTTGCCTCTCGAGAGGGGGCGGGGGCTTTTCTGGTTGCAGTCTCCCTGGAGTTCCTGTGTTCTGAGGAAGCTCCTGGATCTCTGGGACTTGGGAGCTCCCTCCATCTCCTATGCATCTTTAGGGGGCAGATCTGTGGCCCCTCACACTCTCTATTGGACACTCCTATAGAGAAACCTTACATATACAAGCGCGTGTGCACACACAGGTGCTCACATGGTGCTCTCATAAGTATGGACTTGGGCACGTTCAACATGTTTTAAGGCTGTGGTGGGCACTAAATGCACTGTGATTTATTATTGTGTGATTGTTCAGTAAAACAATGTTAATTTTATATTTCCTCATCAGGCTGACACAGTGATAGTTTGCTCTTGTTGTATTGTGTGTCCCTTTTCTGCAGGTCTAGAAGTAGACTCTTGTTCATTCTTGATTTGTTTATTTTTGAATCTTTGTGTGCTGTTATGTGGGTCTCGACTTCCTCTATAAACAATTCAAACATGAAAAAAAAAAAACCTTCCACCCATTTTCTGTCAGTGTTTTTTTGTGCCAGGCTTTTTAGGAATTGCGTGCTTAAAACAAGCCATTTCAAAAAGTTCCCGATTGTGATGTCACAAATGGATACATTTGTGTAGAACTAACATTTTTTTTAATTTCTTTCTTTTTTCCACAATATTTGGTGAAGAAGGGAGGTCTAAAATACTGCTAACTGTAATGGAGTTGTAAAATCTGCCAGCATTTAGCCCTCGCCCCATTTTAATATAAAAGATATTTAATGAAATGATAAAAATGAAAAGAGTTTCTCATCATTGTTTATTTACCTGAGTTGGGAACAATAAGGTGCCCCCCCTGTGAGCTGAAGGAGCCGAGAGCGGTGCAGGATGGATCCCTCGTGCGAAGCAGCGTCTGCGTGCGGCGACCCATCGTGTTGTCGCCGTTGTCCAGCAGGCAGTGCGGCAGCTTGGGTGACAGCTTCGAGGAAAGTTCCCCTCCCAGGTCATCCTGCGGCGTGACTAATCCTGAGGAGTTGTAGACCTTGATCTTCAGGTTGGGGAGAGGGTCCAGCAGGGGGGAGTTGGTCATGGGGATTTTGTCAGCCACGTCATGGAGGGCGTAGACTGGACCGCGGTACATAGCAGCTGCTGAGGTCAGGTCAGGGGGCGCTGTTAGAAGATCAGCTGAAAAACAATGCTCAAGACATTAATCCAGTGATAATAAAATAAACACAGTTAAACTTTTGATATTAACAGCAGCAAGAAACAGCCAATCAGGGAAGCTATAGCTGTGATTCATGAGGAACAGATGGCATCACTAAGATTGAGTTTTCTCTGCAGGTGGGCTGGAAGATGAATGTCTAATACCCAGACTGAGTAGGTGGAGCGGAGCTTGGTGGCTCTAAGCTTCTCAACTGCCTCCAGGTATTTAGAAATTACACAAAAGTTGCTCAAATATCAAAGTAGTGGGAGTTTATTGGTAGTGTTACCTATCGTTAAGTTTGAAACTCTAATTACTGTAATAATGCTGTCGAATGATAGAGCGGGATTGTTGTATAATGGGACTATTGTCTTTCTGAAGGTGTTTATGGTACATGCATGTATTTTAAGTCTCACACCTACACAAAAGCTGCTGTGTTTGGCTTAAATCACTGCATCAATGTGTTAAGAGTTGCAAAAGGTTACCGCGTTTTAGTATGTTTGCAACTTAAAGATGTAGATAAAAATGCACAGTGTCTCTGCCTTCTTCCTTTGCTCAGAAAAGAAGACCAAATATTCCGTTTACAGGCGCTGCTATGTCGTATTTTTGGAACCAGAGTCTGAACACTCGGGATGTAGGACTGAACGTCTCGTCTGCACACCCACACACAATCATGGTGTTCCTTTAAGCTTTAAATAACTCAATGTATCTAAACATAACAGCAAATGACATCGGCGAGTTAAGAACTGTGAATCAACATATCAGAGGTGTATTTTTCACTTTCAGTCAGAACAAGTGTACAGAGAGGGAGTGGGACCCAAATCTTAAACTGCAACCTGCCACTAGAGGGCGCTTCATTTCTTTCAAACCTCCAGTTTGCTTGTTATGTTTCTCTATCGCAGTGGAGTCCAGTCTTTGTCCTGGAGGACCCCAATCCTGCATGATTTTAATGATCTTCCTGCTCAAACACACCTGATTCAATAGCTGAATTGGCTTTTTAGCAGATCATCAAGCTCTGCAGAAAGCGGGTTTTCACGCATTGATTAAAATCAGGTGAGTTTGAGAAGAAAAACCTCCAGGACCAGGGTGGTCAGGTGGCTCTCGGAGGTTGGACTGATCGATTTTTGCTCCAAAAGTTCTGATATCTAGTTTTTCATTTACGTGGATCAGATAATGTCTGAAGTGATCTGAAACTTAGGAATTAAAACATTTTTTGAAAAGGCTGATGTGTTTGTAAAGGAAACTGCTGGACAGCAATGAATTAAAAATGTCTTTTAAAATATAATTAGAGATGTTCGATGTCGGCTTTTCACCTGATTTCTGATTTGTGGCATCTAGTCTAACTCTTACTTTCCGATTCCAATAATAACGAATATCAATACATGCGTGGCTCAGCTCACAGAGAACATCACAGGTCTCGTATCATTCACACTTAAACTTTAAACATCATCTGTGCAAAATATGACAACTACTTCAATTTCCGTTGGGCCAGTCGTGCCCAACAAACACAAATGTTGGCATTTTGACGGAAAGGAGATGTCGCTGAAGAGTTTGATGTATAATATGAGCATGGACCTTAACGGTTGTGTCATTAAAAGAGTAAACACCCCACACAGACATAGACTTTATATTGCAGCCAATAACATCGGACATCCCTAAATAAGATAAATATTTGTGTCAGATCCCACATACAGGTTTGCATCATGCTGTATAGCTTCATCATATCTAATTGTGTTGTGATTCATTGTATCTAATCTACTGCATTGTACTGACATACATACATTTATACAGCATTAGAGTTTATAAACTTCAAAAAACAAGAACGTACAATAATATACACAACTTAAAGTCCCGTTAGTCATCATCACAAATTACATCTCCGCATTTGATCCATCCCCGTGGGGAGCCGTGAGCTGCAGCAGAGGCTGTGCTCGGGAACGTTTAGTAAATATAAGAACATGAAATAAAAAAACAGTCATTTATTCAGTAATTAGCTACTAAAATAAGGGTTTTCAATACAAGTTAGTCCTAAAAAATAGTGAAAAACTCAAGTTTGTGAGAAACTGTAGAAATGTAGTTTCACCAAAGGCCGGGTCCTTCCTCAGAGACTGGCTGAGCTTTCAGAAGGGCTTTTGCAGAGGATCTCAAGCTGTGAGACTCCTGGGAGAGTGCTGATATTGGCAGGGGATAGACCACTCAAATTTTAAAAGACAAGCAGTAAAATCCTAAAGTCAACTCCAAAACTCATGCCAGGAACAGACGATGAACTTAGAGCATTTAAGAAAAACCTTGAAATGATCAAATTTAGAGATAAAACAAACCCTTACCTTTGTAAGGGGTTTTCAGCTGGGGTAATCTCTGTAACCTATAAATTGCTTTTAAACATCTGTTTTTGTGCATTTACCCTTTAGACCTCTTGCACCTCTTGTAAATTTCATCTTAGGAAGTATAAACACCACATTTTTGCTGATTAGTCTCCTCTTGCCGCCTCTTTGGTTCCTGTGTTTTTGCTTCCATCATCACATTCTAAAATCCCAGCTGGAAGTGCAGCACAGAAACTGGTCAGGTTCTACCTTAAACCTTCCAACACTGAATTTTAATATTACTGCCCTCACATAAACGTGCTGTCTGCTGCCCGCTCACCAGCTTTCACACTCCTCTACAGCCAAAAGAGCTCATCTGCATTAGCATCATCACAAACACATGTCCTCCCAGAGGAACCCCAACAGGTTGCTGCTACTGTTGGTGACTCCAGATGTTTCATGAGGAACTGGAACTGATGTGTTGTTCCGTTTTTGCTTCAACTAAATATTGTTTACTTGTTTCTGTTTGAGTGTTAAGTGGAAAGTATTAGGAGGCATTTTTTTTAAAGTCTTTGGTGTGACCCAACCAGGATTTAAACCCCCTGATCTCCCAGTCTAAGGGCAGTCACTCTACCACTGAGCCGGTGACTTCCTGTCCTTGAGGGAAACTGTGCAGAGAGTTTTAGGTTTCATGCTGGAAGGGCCCAGATAGGACCAGCAAAAAGGTTGGGGTGGCACTGGGACAGCAGTAGCTCAGGAGGTGGAGCAGGTTGTTCAGTAATCGGAAGGTTGTAGGTTTGATCCCGGCTCCAACTAGAGAATGCTGCTGTTGTGTTCTTGGGCAAGACACTTAACCCCCCTTGCCTGCTGGTGGTGGTCAGAGGGACCGGTGGCACCGGTGTTCAGCAGCCTCACCTCTGTCAGTGCACCCCAGGGCAGCTGTAGCTACATTGTAGCTTATCCCCACCAGCGTGTGAATGTATGTGAATGCATGGATGACTGATTGTGTTGTGAAGCACTTTGGGGGGTTGTAGAACCCTAAGAATGCGCTATAAAAATACATGCCATTTACAATTTCACACCAAATGGGTCCTTGTGCTAACTCTGGGACTGGAAGCATTAACCTGTGGCCAGGCACTGCATGCTGTTTCTTTTTTGTTTCAGTAAAAAGCAATATGCATCCAACACATTCAGCTCACATTTGAGAAACACAAACATTTTAGAAGGACATGTTGAAAGAGTATTTTAGTTAGGGTACAGCTGGATTTACCTGTTGTTATCTCAACAAAAATAACCAAAAATCTGTCTGTCTGTCGAAAAACATTGGTGGCTTCGTAACATATAACCATAAAAGTCGAGTCTAAAATAGGGATGTCCCGATCAGGTTTTTTTGCCCTCGAGTCCGAGTCAGTCATTTGATTTTGAGAATCTGCTGATGCCGAGTTCCGATCCGATACTTTCGATACATTTTAAAAAAGAAAGAAAAGGAAGAAACTGTTCCAGAATGTTCCTTATTTTTTTATTTAATTACCTTTTTAACAACAGATCACTTCTGTGAGGTAGCTTGAACAATCGAGTAATAAATAACATAAATTCTTCACTTTTGGACTTTATTGCAAATATAAAAAGTCTAATATAAAAACAGATTGCACTTCAACTTAAAATTCCTGGCAGGGGTCTATTTTGCCTCGGCTCCCAAAATGCTTAGATACATCCCTGGGCATGGAAGTTTTGAAGATGATCTGAATTGTGTCAGCTATATAAATACTACATGCAGATAAATTATTGCTTTATACAGGTACAAACGTGTAGTGGGATAAATCTACCTACATTTAATTTTTTAAGAACTTTGTTTTGTTTTCTTGGTTTTTATTTTCCTATCTTCCTGTTCTGTCTGTCTCTGATCTTCCTGCATCTCCCAGTCCTCCAGAAAAACTCCTGTCTGCTCCCTTCTTTTTCACCTCACAAGTAACTTTTTAACTAGCAGATCAAATTGATCTTTTGACGGCAAAAAAAGCGGAGTGTGCGCTGCGCTGATCGGCTGCGCCAGTGACGAGCGCTGCACCGCGAGCGTGTCCACACGTCATGCTCAAATACAGACAGAACTTACCAGAGAGAAAATGAACGGACACGAATGACTGTGTGTTAATGATATATTTTTTTGGTGACGTCACTTAGAAACTTAGAAAACGTTACTGTGGGCGTGTGCAGAATGCAGCTGGAGTTCTGCTCAAAAGAATCCCCGCTACGCTGAGTCCATATATAATATAATGTAGGTAGAAACTGGATCTTTTTTGTGCTCCTTCTGGGTGTGTAAGTTAAGGGCATCGTGGGAGCCTGACAACCTTTAAGGAGAACCAAGTTGCTCTCCTGTAATTTGAACCCAGTATCCGAGTCCAGATCGGGAAGTAAAGCCCGAGTCCTGATCGAGTCTGAAACCACGTGATCGGGGCCGATTTCCGATCATGTGATCGGATCGGGACATCCCTAGTCTAAAATACATGGGAGTGGGTCTCTGGGCGACTCCATATCAGCCGCCATGTTTCTTTCTACAGGAGCCCGTGAGGACAAAACGCATTTACAGATTTGCAATAAGCGGTTACAAAACTTCTATCATTCCTAAACGTTGTTTAACACATTTACCTATTCACTCACTGCCAGTGATGAAAGGGAGTCTGATGTGTTTGTTGTTTTGCTGGAGGTTGTGTTCCCAGGGATTTTTTACCCTAATGGCCATCTGTAGTTAAGGTCTTAACTTGAACACAAAAATACAGCATGCTTGCAATGATTTAGGCATGTACTTCCCCCTATCGCCTGGGAAAATACACACAGTCACTTTAAGTCCAAAACAATTAAATGTCCAGACTAATGTCACGGTAGAAGAAATCAGATTTATGCAGCAGATACAACATTTTAAAGTTTCAAGCCAAAAGCACCCTGAGAAGTATTAGAAAACCACATAATTTTATCACAAGATCTGCAAGTAACTTTTGCAGCTGAGTCTAATGCCAGACACTCAGCCTTGCACCGAAGAAAGCCTCTGGCTTGGAAACAGAACATAAAATCTGCAGTCCTTTACAATGTTCATTATGTCCTCTTTTTAAATATTAAACGGGAAACATAAAATTCACACATGAAGAGGAAACAAACAAAACAATAGCATTTTTGGACATGGACATTCACCACACAGACGACGACAGCATAAAAATCACAATATACAGAAAACCCTCGCATACAGACCAATATCTGCTTTGGACATCTGAACACCCCACGGCACACAAACCATCAGTAGTCAGAACATTATACGAACGGACCAGCTTCATTACAGATGAAACAGACCGCAAACAGGAAGAAGAATACATCAAACAAGCACTAACCCTCTGTCAGTATCCAAAATGGGCCATAGAAAAAGGAAAACAACAAGTCAAAGAAAAAAAAACAGGGAGACCAAAAAAGAAAACAAAAACAAAGACCAGACCACACGCACACGGACACCATCACAATTCCATACATCCGGGGAGTCACAGAACGTATACAAAGGGCCATGAAAATACAGCAAATCAACACAACCGTCAAACCTCACATGAAACTCAGACAGCTACTGGTACACCCCAAGGACAAAATAGAACCAGACAAGAAATGCAATGTAATCTACAAAATACCATGCATGTCGTGCAATAAAACACACATAGGGGAAACCGGCAGAACATATGACATCAGAAGAAAAGAGCACCAGAAGGAACGTGAGAAGGAAACAACAGAAAGACTCACAAGGACAACAAAGAAAAAAGCAGAGGAGAAAACCCTCAAGTCAGCCATCTCAGATCATTGCAAACAAAATAACCACATCATGGACTGGGATCAAGGGAAAATTATCAACATGGAGAACAACCGGTCCAAACGTTGGGTCAGGGAGGCAATAGAAATAAGGAAACGGGAACATTGGAACATGAACAGAGACGAGGGGGCCTATCAGCTGTTTCGCACCTGGGATTCCCTTCTCCAAAGACCAGCCAGCGGAGGTGGGCGCGCCCAACCCGGATCTGACAGATCCGGGTTGGTCGCGCCCACCAGAAGAACAGCTGATGAAGACGTGTCACACAAACACCTGTGATAACTTCTGAAGAAGACTGCAGACAGCGGTCGAAACATGTAACAAAAGGTAACTAGAAACACCTTCATGTCCGAAGCAAAAAGAACCTCGTCTAATATTAAATCTATAGTTTGTCCATTTAGCATTAAGCTAAAGCTCAGGTTTTAGAGCAACCTGCTTCATAAAAACAAACGGTGTGGTTCCTATTATAACACCATTACTGTTTATACAAAATCATCCTTATAGGTGACAAATGTCAAGTGAATCAACTGAAAAACAGATGATAAAATTCTGAATCACATCAAAAGTGTTTGAAGATAATGTAATGCCATCTAGTTATTTTTTTAAAGAAATTATTCTTTTGCATTTTCTGGCTGTAAAAGGTCTTCTCTTCCCTTAGAAAGCTAATGAATATGTTCAAAAGTTCATTTAGGGCCTTTTAATCAACAGATTCACCAAGAAATACCTGAAAAGAAATAAAAATGGGGGTTTTTGGAATGTAAAAGCCAAAGCTCTGAACTGAATTTCATTACGAAAGGGAGTATTTGGAATGTGAAGGCACCAATAATCACTGGTTTCTGCTAAAATTGAAAATGCAACATTCTGGTGCTAAAAGCCTGAAGATTTTAACCAATTTGCTGAGAATTAATCCTGAATAAAAATGAAAATGTTGCTTCAAGTGCTCCAACTTTGATCATTTTATGCATGTGATGAACTTGGAGGGGAAAACACACTTTCTCATCTACATGTTTTACAATATCCACTACCTTAAGATGTTATAGGACTGCAGGTCCAGAGAAACACAGACAACGCCACAAACCGCTCCTTGAACCCACCTTTGCGGGCGGTTTTGATGCTGACTGGCTGGAAGCCTCCATTCAGGGCGGAGGAGTCGATGATGTCGGAGTTGAAATCCCGATGGTTCTTCCTGTAGACGAAGAGCGCCACGACGACGGAGATAACCAGGCACATGATCACGGCTATGACAATACCCACATAGAGAGCTACGTCATCTGTGCTGGGGGCCACTGGTGGAGGGGGTCGAGAAAAGGAGGAGACAAAACAGAAACAGGTAGAGTTAGATAAGAAAAGAAGAATTCTGCTTAGATGACAAGTTTCCGTCGGACTTTCTCTTAATATGCAAGAGTTGTGAAGAAGACATTATCAGCAGACTAATATCCTGGTTTAAGACTCCGCCGGATATTAACAACCATCATCCAGGGGGAGTAAATGCACAAAGATTATTTGCGTTTTTATACTTTCAGGGACCTTAATCATCTCAGATGAGGATGATTCATGGCAGGATAACTGATCACACTCTAAAACACAACATAAGAGTAAGTGCACATGTGCTGGTGAGCATATATGCCTCATATTTATGATAATTAACAAGAAATTAAAGATAATGATGACAAAGTCTGATAGAACGGCATTCACAAACACGCCCGCTCCAATGAAACTGACACACCAATCCCGGCTCAGACGGCAAGATCAAAAGCTCTGCAGACAGAGATGTAGGGGGATTTCATCTTCAAATTACCGCGCTGGAGTTCAGAGTCTGTCTCTGACTTTGTTCTTACACACTGAAGATAAGATCTAGACATAGCTTGGGTTTCTCAAATTGTCTTTCATCTCTGTCTGCCTCCCAGAGTGTCTCTGTCCACTTTCCAGCTGGAGAAGCCTCCGTGATTAGCTGCTTTGGCATGGATGAATATCCGACTGCTGGAAACCTGGACAGGCGCTCATTACTGATCAGGCATTTCACTGGCTGCTGACTGATGACCTGAACCCTGTGCTCCTTGGTAAAGAATGTCCTTCAGTGTCACCAGTTGACGAACGGGGAAGAAAATGCTTCTTTGGGGCTTGTAGGAGCGTGTGTCTGCACATTGTTCGACAGAGCGCTGCACGCATGTGCACATGTCACAGGCTAGTTCGAAAACCCAAGACCAAAGACACGCTAATGCATTAATGCTACAAGAGAACAAAGGCATTTTAAAAAAGAGGGACACTCCTGTTTTAAACATGAGTAGTTATGTAAATTGCACAGAATCTGCAGCAGATGGCAGTGTCACCAATAAATCTGTAAGCAGCACTCTGAAGACAGACTAGTAGCCTGGTGTGCCTCAGGAACGCAGACGGGACTCTGGAGTTTTCTTCAGCAAAGCAGCAAAACCACAAGAGGAGAGGATCAGAAACAAGTGAAATTCACGAGTTCAATCACACTCTGTTGCTCTCCACGATTCTTTTTATCCACTTTTGACTTAATCTTTATTTCTAAATGAGATCTAAATTAAGGCTTGAGCAGCATCCAGCAGCTCAAAACCAATTAAATATCATGTTCTTAAAGATTAAAAGTGAAATTTAGTCTCACCTTCATTTCCTTTAACTCACTGCAGGAGCAGAAAACAGAGCTCTAGCAGGGAATTGAATTTCTTCCCAAATATCTAATTAAACATTTCGTTTCTCACAGTCTTTAGGAAGCATACATCCAGCCTAGCCTGACGCATCATATTCCTAATGCATCCTAATGTATGCTAGACCTCTAATCTTTCCTCTAGCAGAGACATAAACAGAAAACAGAGCAGGGAGCCCGTGATGAAGGTCTAAAAATGTAATTTCACTGCGCTCCCTCTGCTGAGCTTCCCTGCAGTTACTTAACATATATCCCCCCAGTCGAACAATCTTCCATCCATGCTATGATGATAAATGCAGCAACCTGCTAAGTGTACGCATTAAAATGGAACGCTTAGATTAATACATCCCTTTGAACATGAGCTATTGTCAGAAATTGCAAAATACAAGGAATGGAAATGAAATGGATTATTAAATACTCCATTTTCTGAGGGGACCAAGAGATTTACTGAAGGAAGGAGGGATGCAGTGTCAGAGAATAACTCAGAACGCAGCACAGAGATTAAGGCACTTTAGCTGTTTAGAACATGGCCTATTACACGTGTTTATCAGGGAGGTGTTGAGTTGGGCTCCAAGTCCATCTGTAGGAGTTTAGGCGTTTGTGCATCATTGGGTACACTTTCTGTTGGTGTGCTGAGCAGAAATATGGTTTTTTCTACAAAGAATTAAAATAAAAAGTAAAAACATTAAATAAATAAAAGTGAAGGCAAACTATTTTAACCCTCCCACTGTCTTTGTGGGTGACCCCGAAAGGAAAGTTGACCGTTGTGCAGGATAGCTGGTTTATCCCTTGACGTACGCGTGGCAGGGGTGAGGTGGTGCTCACTCCTCACCCCTGCCACATGGACCCAAGGGATAAACCATCAACCCTGCTCAATGGTCAACTTTCCTCGTGGAAAGTCCATAAGGCAGTGGGAGGGTTAAAGGTGTGGAACACTCGTTTACTCATCACATTTGCAGTGGTTTGTAGTAGGAATGAATGCCTTGCAAACAGTTCTCCAGGGTAGAGGTGTGTGTGTGTGTGTGTGTGTGGGGGGGGGGGGGATCTGGATCAGGACGGAGTCTGCTGAAGCACAGTAGCAGAACACAGCAGCATCTGAAGTTTTATCTCCTGATATTTGAATACCTCGCCTCTGATTGGCTAACAGCAACACAACTCTACTACGGAGTCTGTTTGCTCTGCAACACTGATGTTTAATCTCCACAAATACCAAAAGCCAGGAGGAGTTCTACTGTGTGGTGGAGTTGCTAATGCTAACAGTTAGCTTCTACTAGCCGAGACATTCTCTGCTGTTTCCTGGATGCTAAACCAACAACCGCCTTCCCCGTCATGAGTCATGGTGGGCAAGTCCAAGCATCCGCTTGACGTAGAGCGGTCAGACTTTTCTAATCCTAGAGTTTTCTATCAGAAGCTAATGCAGGAGATAGGTGTAGGAGACCATTTTCATGTTCAGCCTGCATGAAAAACTGAGTGACCGATAATAATCAGAAATAATTGTAAAAAAAAAGTTTTTTTTCAGTGCTCCGCACCTTAAATATTTTACTTGAGATATGGAATCCCAAATCATAGATGAGGCTATCTTTGTCACCAAACCATGTAAAGAAAACCCCTCTTCTTTTTCATCAGGTCTCCTGAACAGATCAGAAGGTGATTCAGCACCTTTTGCAGCTGAATGTTATGTAAGAAAGTTCATATTTGGTAATATTTCTGCAGATGTTGCAGCACTTTGAAAAATGCAGCAACCTGTTTTGAAAGATTTCTCCTGCTCTTTGGGTATTTCTAAATCTCTAAATGTCTTACATCCACTTTTCTATCAAGGTAAAGAGAAAGAAAATGGTCAGCCCAAACAAGCTAATTAAAGTCCTAGGCCTTGTTAGGTTATCCAAGATTTAAAATTTCTATTGAAATAGTGGGAAAAAATCCTACATTTTAGACTTTTTTCTGTTCATTTCTTTCTTTATTTTGCAAGAAGAGCAAGAAACTAACAAAGAAACCCAAACCACAACAGAAAAGGCTGTTTCTGAGTAAGGTGGTGAAGCAAAGTGGCTCAGATTAAATACAAGGAAGAAGATAAAGGCGACTTTGGATGACTTGAATTAAATTAAATGTATTATTATTATTATTATTATTATTATTATTATTATTATTATTATTATTATTATTATAGTGGTGATGCAGGACTGTTGTTAGGAATTGGCAACATGACCAAACAGGAGGCAGGCTCGCAGGTTTAATAGAGAATAAAAAGAAACAAAAGAAAGTAAAAGAAGTCATGACTTGGGCCATGTACACAGGTAGACGGGCTTTTGTATCCTGCCCTGCTCATCGAGGACAAAACTTGGGTTCACACCACCTAGCAAGAAGATCCTAGGTGCCTTCTGAAGGCATTACCTGTCTACATGTGTACACGGTCTTAAGGTCTGTTAGTGCTACATTTAGTAGAGGGTAGGGCTGGGCGACATGGCCTAAAATCAATATCACGACAAATTGAGGATTTCACCTCGATAACGATAAATGGACGATAACTACAAGTATGTGCAGAAATAAAAGTTGTCCACGTGTATCACGTTGAATCACTTTTTTACGTGACCCAAGGTGCTACAGCTTCTTAAAGGGACATGAACGTTGCCGACCCACACACATCTTTTCATTTTTTTATTAGCAAATTTATTGACATGGGAAATTTTTTCTCTAAGAAACAGAAATTTCGATAATGATAAAGTTTCAATTTATTGCCCAGCCCTAGTAAATAATAATGAAAAAGTAAAACCGTGCTCTTGTTTTGTGTTTTTTATTACTAAATGTAGCTATTAGCACACTCATGCTCATAATCGTCCTAAACCATACCTGTAAATTTACATGAAGGTTAGAAACAGAAACACTTGTGAAAATGGAAATAGAAATAATGTAAAAACAAATCAAATGAAACAATAACTCACATGAGTCTCCAAAATCACTCTGGACTTTAGCTTCAGAAGACTGCTGATACAGTGAACCTTGGGGGGAAGAAAGGAAGGGGTGTGGATGGGGTACAGGGCAGGAGAGGATGAAGGAAGAGCGATGGTGAAAATCAAATTTCCAACCAAAAAAACAAACTCAACAAATGAGACAGCGACAAACTCATAAGTAAGAGTGATGACCCAGAGAAGTGATCTTTCTTGATTTGGCCCCTCCCCTCTCCTCTGTATCTGTGTATGGTGTATAGAGATGAATGAGCAAAACAGGGGGAACATGGAGGTTCTGTAAGGGAGTGGCGTGATCCATCAAGCGGGTTTAGTGCCTTGGCAGCAGCGGGACAGATGATGGCAGGTGAAGGGAATGGAAGAGCTGATAAAGTGTGAGCTCCAGCAGAGTCAATAGAACCTACAGCCTTGCATCCGTCACTAGAAGGTGGATGGAGAGGTTAGTGCACCAGATAAAAGTGATGATAATGTTCAGAAAGCAGAGAGAGGAGAAAGCTGAAGGACAGCGATTAGAAAAATTGAAGACTTGTGATTTGGAGATTTGGAAATCTTGGGCATAGGGGGGTTTCGGTCCCAGCTGGGATTTGAGAGGCTTTTGCTGTGGCTGCTGGAAAGCAGGCGGCAACGGCAGCCAGGGATGGAGAACACATAATATTCACTCTCCCTGGAACATCCATAAACAGCTAAACAAACAATGAAATCCTTATTGGAAAGGAAGAGTGCCACAGGAAGACTAGTGGACTGGCATGAAAATCAATGGCTTGATAGATGTGTTGGTGCATGCAATCAGGCATCGGGGAAGCAGGGTGGAGTAAGGAGGAGGTAACAGTAAGGGCCGATCTAAAGGATGCCCCGTCAGAACCCTATCCAGTTTCTATGCATCCCTACTGTAATCACTCACTTCAGTGGGTGGGCTTCAGCGGAAAACTCAGAGCTCCAAATGAGAAAAAAATAATTAAAATCTGTTTTTCCTGACATCATAAAAATGGGAAGGAAGTTGGAATCATAGAACAGGAAATCAATGTTCCTTTTTTATTTCTTCCTCTTTTGGGCTTGACAGATTTTCAATCTCTGAGAAACACTTTTAATACACTAAAACTGATCTCATCAGACGTGTTAAAGGTCCATTTCAGCCTTACTGGACAATTCGTGTGAATGGAGATTGAAAAATCACAAGACAATTTCATCCAGACGCTTGAGCCACGGTGTAAATAACAGAAACGGGGCTCAGCGTCATGATCATCCACTCTCGCCTCACAGCAATAAAGCATGCGCCCTCAATGGTGTCAGTGCTCGCCTTTCTCTGGATCAATATGTCAAGAAAATGTCATGTCTTAGAGCGGGGTTACCAAAGGCTTGGCAAACAACATGAGGATAGAGAAAGACGGACCACAGGGGGAGAGCCAAACAGAGGCAGGTCAGCTTTAGCGAACTGTGGAAACGACCAAGCTTGAGCTGGAAAGTCCAAGCCTTCTAGACATTAACATTGTTAAATCCAACACCCAAAACTCTCTGACTGTTGAAACGCAATGAACAAGCTCCAAAGTAAATTACAACACAATTCTTTCCTTTTTGACGCAGGTCGGTTGTGTTTCCGCAGCGATGAGCCTGCAGTTCAGAAGCTCAAGCGTCGGTCCTATCAGGTTTCTTTGGCAGAGTTCTGAGATGGACTGCAATTGGAACGATTTAAATAAATTCAAACAACAGAAAATAAGATCAAGCTGCAATGGAACCCACAGACGTGTGTTCGCTCAGATTCCAGGCCTGCACTGCAGGGAGCAAATCAGGAGTCCGAGGTGAGTTCGGATTGCACACAACTTCCATTCCCAATCATATTTGCCATAACATGAGCTTTCAGATAATGGGCAGTTCTCCTAAATGCTTGTGGAAATGGTCATTAGCATTGACATAAGTGGCTTCACCCTCTTAGCTTCCAAAGAAATCAATCTCCCGAAATGATCCTGAATCTATACCATTACGGCTTTATATTCTCTGCGCACTCAACATCAATTCACCAAGAACTTAATGCTTTTGGCCAAGCTGCAGAGGACGAGCACAAGGGCAGGAGAGTTAGAGGTGAGCATATGTTGTCCTGCTTGTGGATAAAAAAAAACTGGAATGAATCAGACAAGAGCGAGCTGTCCTGTAGAGTTTCACCCAATGTGTTTCATACACTCCAAACAAAATCAGCTAACGCCTGCCTCTGGCAGCAATGTCTAAACATCGAACCAGACCTCTGGAGACTCAAGTTGTTGTTTCCTGTTCGCTGTAAAGTTTAGACACAAGTGTTTACTCTGCAGACAGATGCATTTAATCTACAAAGACATCTAAAGATGCATATCGTCCATCAAACTTTTAACGCAAACAAGATTTTATCGACAGCTTTACAGCAATAGCAGTTTGTACAACTTTGGCTGCACAGCGTTCACCAGCTCCATCAAATTTAGGACAACCAGCAGCCAAGTCTCTGTTAAATAATTAGTGTCACAATCACCATCTGTAATAGGTTTTATACATGATGAAGGCACACGTGACAGTGATTGGGGTTTAACACCTCCAAAGCTGTTTATTGGAGAAGAGTTTTATTAAACCAGACAGAATTGAACTCAGTTACTATGTCATGTTTACAGCCCTCTCCATCTTGTTAATAAAAGAGCTGAAAACTCGGTCTGGTGGATGAAATGTCAGGGTTTAAAATACCTGCGACAATTTAACAATGCAGCCACATCAATTCATCAAAGGCATGATTCTAATCTGTGAATGTATAATGAGGCGGGCTTGTTGGCTGAACTGAACCGTGTGGCTGTTTTTAACTCACTGGGAGAAAGAACAAGTAAACAATTCCATGCTTGCAGGAAAATATCTGGCTTCACCACAAACTGGCTTTTGTTAGCATCAAAGCAGTAAAACCGCTAAATGGAAAAGGCTGGAGCATGCTGGTGCTGTTAGAGATGTAAAAATATATGCAGAATGTTTGTTCATGTAATTGAGCTTTTAAAAGCAGCATTCAAAGCAGCTGGTGGCCCTCCTGCTTAACGTAATAATTGCAGATACCTTAAGGTAATAGTTCTGATCTTTGGAGGAGTGCTTCTTTGTGGAAATGTTACCTATGTAAATCTTGAAAAATACCTTCAAACTGTAAAGGATGGTGTCCAAACATGAACTTGAAATGGTTATCTCCTCCCATCTAGGTTACTGCAACACACTCTTCACGTGTTTTTACAAAAAAGCCCTTGACCACCTTCAGTTGGTCCAGAACTCTGCAGTGAGGCTCTTAACTGGAGCAAATAGAAGAGCTCACATCACTCCTATTCTGATGTCTCTGCACTGGTTACCTAGCCTGGCAAGCCAGACTAAATAAATGTATTATTTAGTCTGGCCACGCTCCATTGACGGCTCTCGGTTGTGGGGCGGGTTCTACCGTTGTCTTTCAAATGATCTCCGCATTCCACTGGACAAAGAATGTGACATACTCTTGTTTCACTCTGTTGCATCATCCCACCCACCAGGCATATAGAGTGCCCTGATTGGTCCACAAAGCGGATAAAGCTCTGTGATTTGTTCACTAAGCAGATAGAGCACTATGATTGGCCCACCATTATGGACCAATCACAGCTCTTTATGTGTTTGAAACCCCCTCTAGAGAGCTGTGATTGGCCAGCCAGAGTCCTGGTAGGAGCTGCCGAGGTTCCAATGGAGCATGCCTAGACCATTCTTTGCACAGCAAGAATTTGGTCTAGTTCACTAGGCTACTGGTTACCCATTAACTACAGAATTCATTTTAGAATCCCAAACTATACTACTACTATAACTTTCAATGCTCTACATGGTCAAGCTCGTCCCTACTGAACTAGAAAGCCTTATGCTCCAACCCGAGTCCTCAGGTCCACAAACCAGAACCTTCTAGAAGTCCCAAAGACCAGATATAAAGTTTGAGGTGATCGCTCCTTCCAGACTGCTGGAATGAACTTCCTTTATTTTTACACAGTAATGACAGTCTGGACACCTCTAAACAGCAGCTAAAGACACTTCAATTTAAAATAGCTTTAACTTAAATATTTTGTGTTTCCCAGTACATTCTGTAGTGCTCCAACATACTTCTTTGTTGTTTTCTTCTCATCCAGAAAGAATGTGAGCTTTTCCCCAGGCTAGTGTTAGCAGTAGCACATGCTAGCACTGTTCTGCGGTTAGCATTGCCGTGACCAGCATTTATACATTGCCATAATTTAAGTGGGTTGGGACATGCAAATGTGAGGGTGTGTGTCTAAGCTTGTGACCTATTGAAAAAGCTTTTCTCAGAATGAGCCATTTTTTTGTGGCCATTACAAATTTAAAAAGCAGGTCGGAGACAGACCTGACCTTTTGGTATGCTACATTAGACACACCAAGCTGCCTATTTTTAACAAAAACAAAGTCAATGTGGTTTAATATTCTAGGACACCTTTAAAACAGTGTTAATTAAAACCTGTTTGACAATCTAATGGCTAGCCAAAAACAAAGTGGATGCTAATATCTTTAATCCAACAGTTTAACAGTGGTTCAATTGAATCCATGTTATACACTTTCAGATCACCGGTGGTGTTGCATTTCAGTAGAAATAAAAAAGAAAAAGAAAACCATCATGCTATCAATGTTTGGCTCCAGTAGAGCATATGCAACAAATCTGTTAGACACAGTTGATCAATGCTGCCGTCTAAAGGCTTTTTTTAAAGCTGAATTTAGCTAAAAACAGCTGAGAAAGTGAAGAATCATCAAACAGCTTCAGAATGCCATCCCGAAGATTAAAGCTCTGACAGTTTTGTTCTGATTTATTGAGTATAACAATTTTCCAATGATTATCCTGTAGATTATATGCATGGATGTTGGTGAAACTTAATAAAGTGGTTCTATTGCATTTGTTTATAAACTTCTGGCAATAACACGTTTCGGACCGAAAGAAACTCTCGGACCATCCGGTTGTCGGTCTCGCTAAACCACCACACTTCCCTGGGTCCTACCTAACTACCACAGTCGCAAAATAAAATTCTTTATGAAGATATTTTTTTCAAGATAATAGCAAAACATTTTTGTCTTTGTTACTCACACTAGCTGTTAGCTTGTCAATCAGAATTGGACTATCCATACTGAAGGATATTTGTGGCTCATAATCTCTGCACAGAGCCACACTTAAAAAGAGCTTTGCTATTCCTTTGATTTTACTTTATTATGTGAGCTACAGCCAACAGTTGTTGGCACAACACAGATAATTAGCCAGGACATCACAGTGAGACATTTAGTCATGCAACTAGCTTCATGTAGAAAAGTTTTATAAATTTGTGTAAATTTATAAATGTGAAATGAAAGAAAAAAACAGATCAAAAGCAGCTTTTCAGCTTCACTTCTTTTCTTGCATGAGCGAAGTGAAAAACCGAGTGGCAGACAGGGTGGGAGTGTTAAACACATGGTGATGAAAGAGCACAGGGAAATATCTGGTCAAAGAGGGCAGAAATTCCTTCTGGTTGACAGGTCAGAGAGAGTAGCACAGGGTTAGTCGGGTACTCACTCTGCATGCACATCCCATCGGTGCAGTTCTTTGACTGGAGCACCATGCCCTCACAGTCCTTCCCCCCGTTTTTGGGTGCCGGGGCGTTGCATTCTCTCCTCCTCCAGTGGGTGCACTCTGTCCCACAGGTGGACCACTTACTCCACTCTGTCCACAGACCATCCACTATCACACAACAGACAGGACACAGATGGGGTCGAGTGAAGGAGACGAGGAATGAGAGGATGGAGACACATGAGCGCATGAAGACGTGGGAGAGGGACACGGTTAAGCGCGGAAACACAGGAATGAGTGAAATATGCAAACACAGAATTGCATCACATTTTATGCAATTAGTTCATGTGCACCCGGAACCTTTAGGCTCACTAATAATTGGGTGTAACGTTGGAATATTTTCCTTTCTCTTTTCACCGTACCTGGGCAGAGAGGATTACACGGCAGCTTCTGGATGCCTTGACCTTCACAGATGGCTCCACCATTGAGCGGCGCTGGGTTGGTGCAGCTGCGCGTGCGTTTCTGGTAACCACGGCCACAACGACTGTTACACACAGACCACTCCGTCCACGTCGACCATCCGCCATTCACTGTAATAAAAGGGAATCACATCCTGATCAAAAGGAATTTCAATGCCTCTAGGTGTGTTAAACAGAAAGACCCCAAAAAACTAATCTAGATTAAAAACAAAGTGTATTAAGTGTGGAGATTATGCATTTCGACTCTGACACTTCAGGTGATTACTTTGTGATGGAGCTAGACCGCTGCACTTTCCACTCAATGATTCCTCCTAATGCCTCTCTTCCTTCTCTCATCCATCTCTGTCAGTGACTAAATCCAGTGCAGAGTGACACGAGGGCTTGTGGCTGAGAACAAGTCTGTGGCATTTGAGATGGTGAAACCAAACCCCTCAGAGCTCCAGACGTCCTAATGTGGCACACCTCTGCCTGAAACCCCAAACACTGAACTCCAGGAGAAGTCTGCCAAAGCCTAACATTTCTTCTCTGCTTTCTCTCCTCCGGGGATTAAGGATCCATCTTCTCTCATTGTCTTGTTTTGTTTTTATTATTTATTTTTCCAAACCCAGTTTTTGTTGTCACCTCCTCTTCCCAGTGTCCTCACGGTTGGGATGGGCTGGGAAAAAACACTGCAAATCCTGCTCATATTTTATCCATCTTCAGTATCAGACAACTCTCATCCTTGGAGCATTCCCACTCTGCTGTGTGGGGCAGCGTGGATACTTCCACATGCAGCGCATCTGCACTCCGATGTGCGAGTATCCCATCTTTGAAACGAGAAGAATGAGCCGACATCAAAGCAGTTTTTCTGACACTTAATCCTAAAAGACTGTGTTGGTGACATGAAAGCCTCGTCTCTGAAATCCGCTCTCACGTTTTCCACATCACTGCTACACACTGATTCCCAAACGCTCACATAGTCTCAGAATTCTATGGAAATAAATAAAACAAAGTCTCTAAGACAAATCTTGCAGGTCCAGGAGAAAAGCTGATGGGAGAAATATAGATGGGAAACGTCATCCCAACGTGTCAGTTCGAGGTGTACTTGTGTCATTTGGGTGCACCGGATGTTCCTTCTGTCTGAAATTAGATGTTAAGTTTTATTCACTCCCCAAAATAAATGAATTCAGAGAAAAGTTCATGATCAGTCAGGCAAATGAGCTTTCAAGACCTCAAAACCAAAACAAAACAATGTTTTGTGATTTAAAAAGCATTTGCTTTATGTCTCATTTGTTCTGTCTTGCGTAGCGGTTGGGAGTCATCTCCGCAGCCACGCTGTGCGTTAACGTTGATGTTAGTGAGACCGAACCGAGCCTACGTGAGACCACAGCGGGGGTCTCTTTAAGTGCGACTCAGCTACATCAGCACCCCTCACGTAGTTCAGAAAGTGGTAAATCTGCCATTCCACGCACACCTTAGGGCAGAAACTAAACGACTGAGTGCGCAGGTGAGACAAGGGTTTGATTTATGCACCGTGACTTAGATTTTTGTTTCATTCTGACTTGAGCTGACATTGTGGCCGGATGTAAATCATCCTTTAATTTGAATTAACGAGATTCTAGTGTTGCAAAGTTTATATTAGTTCATTTTATCATAATATTTTAACTGCTAAAGAATGACAAAAATAGATAAAGGGAAGTTTTTCTGTAAGTGCTTCAATAAATAAAGAGTGTGAAAATTCGGAGTATCCAAATGTTAAAAATAAGGTTAAATTTGTCAACTAGGCTCATGTACTTTAGAGGGATTTGTTTGATTTTAGATTATATTAACTAATATAAATTTGCTTAAAACTCAAAGAAATTAAATCTAAATAAAAAGTGGGTTCAGATTGAGGTCTCAAAGCTTCCTCAGCCATTTATTCTCTGGAAAATGTGGCAGAGTCTCTTTGTCAGATGCTTGTAGCTAAATAAACAAATAAATTAATAAACAAAGCACCTTTTTATTAGTTCTCTCATACTTTTGGGTGGGTTCACATCAGTACCTTGCTCTGGATAGTCCAATTCTTCAGACGGTTGTGAAAGTTCATCAGATTTCTGGTGTGAATCAAACAAGCGGGTCTTGGAGACAGCGGGAGGACAGCATTGATGTGAAGAAACAGGAATAAAAACATGCTGTCTCATAGGTAGACTTGTGGTAGTGAGGAGGTGCTGACAATAATCGGTATCTGCTCAGAGGAATAGTGATGTGACGTTCACAAACAGATCAAATCTTTTGAACGGCTTTTTAAAGTGAACGACAAGAGTCAAGTAGAGAAACGTTCCTCATCTACTCCTTTGGTCTTCAATGACTCTTGTAACCCAACTGGTTCACCAATAGGTTCAAGTGTAAATTAGTGACTGGAGCTTTAGCAGAGGTTCACTGAGAAACGTTCAATATGTGTTATTTTTTAAATAAAAATCAGTAAATATGAGTGGCACATGCATTCTGAAAGAGAAAATAGTCTTCTACCGCTTTTTCCTGCATTAGCCGCTAAAACACAGTAGACATTAGGGATGAAATCAAATATCGATATGGCAATATATTGCTATTGTTTTTCCTGCAATATTATATCGATATCCAAAAGCTGTGTATCATATTTTGGGAAGAATTTTCATGCAAAAATTTGTGTATTTTCTTGTCTTTTGGTGCAATTCAAACACCGACCTCTAGTTGGCAGCAGTGTGCAGCAGGTTTCGTTGCTACCCACTGAAATGTAAATCCCTCCATCATGGTTCAGATACCTCATGTTAACCCTCTCAGGCTCAAAATGGGTTTTGATAAAAGGACGAATAACTAAGTCCTTCAGGGGTACTTCTGAGTTAAAAAATGCTCATGAAATACGTATGTGGAGTAACCAGGTAGGTAGGTTTTAACGTTGCAAATCTGCAACGCCTGCCTCCAGAGGGTTAAACATGTTACGTATCAGTTTGGACTGTTTGTTGAATTTTCCTACAATAAATTCAGTCTAAAAAAATCCCTAATATCGTCTGACTAAATGTATCGCAACATACCGTCAGTGCTGTGCCCGAACACATTCACTGAACGATCGTTCGTGAATTCGTTCATTTTTTCGTGAATGTGAACTGAACTTGTTCGTATTTTGTCTGACGAATGTAAAAGTAAGTGCGTTCGTCCTGGCGTGCATGAACGGGTTTATGAACACGTTCTTTCGCCGTTCTAGCTCCAAATCTCCACGGAGCTTTTCCGGAGCTAAAGCCTAGCTAAAACATCCTGTTAACCATAGCTTATAAAAGTAGAACCCGCAAATGTGGCCAAACATAGGCAGTAGCAGTTGGTGCGGCGTCTACTCTTCTACGTCTATGCTGTGTGCAGGAGTCAAAGTTCATTCAGAAAAATTGAAACGGGATTTAACTGAAAGATTAAACATTTTTTAATGTTTTGCACTTTTAATATTTCACTTTGAGTTTGCTCCCTCAGCCTGCTTCATAAGATTGTTTCATAATTTCCCATTAAAAACTGTTCAAATAATGTTTTCCTCATGTTATTGAGAATATACTGTAGGGTAAAAACTGCAGCTGGGTATGAGTGTGGACAGAACGGGTGCCAACTATTGGAAAATTATTTCATAAGTTATATATATATATATATATATATATATATATATATATATATATATATATATATATATATATATATATATATATATTCAGTGCATCCCCTAGGAATTTTTCCAGCTGCGGCGGTGGGGCTGGCTGGGGGGGGGGGTAGTATCACAGGTGTTTGTGTGACAGAAGAGTCCTGTTGCTGTTAGCCAATCAGAGGCAGGAGGTTCACATTTCAGGAATAATAATGCGTAAGACTGCAAATCCTGCCGTTTTCTGCCCTTCCTGAAACAGCAGTGCAGGAGTTAAATAAAAAAAATTATTCCTTGTTTTTTTTACACAGAAAATTCATTCATAAAGAGACCACAGAAACTCTTCTGAAATGATATACACCCTCTTTAAACTGTCCTAAATTGAGCTACAAAATGTTATAAAGAACACCAGTAGGTATTTTACCATAGACGATGACAGTGGCGGTGGTGCTACGCCTTTTTGCTACAATGTTCTTGGCCACGCAGGTGTAGTTGGCGGTGTCGGAGAGGCGGGCCTGTTTGATTATCAGGTTGTGATCGATGGTGATGTAGAAGTTTCTGTCATCTGCAGGATCTATGACATCTTCATTCTTTAACCACTCCACCTAGAAGACACACACAAACGAGACAGTTGTCAAAATAAAGCTGTGAGAATTTAAATAAAATTTATATAAATGAATAATAATTAAAGCTTTAATAAGGCTGATAGTTTCCTGTGAAATCTCTCATTTAACAGCAAGTGCCCAGATTGCAGAACCCTTGTTTGTGTTCCTTCAGGTCTTACTACAAAAAGTCAATAGTTATCATGCTCGTTTCATTCTCTCCTAGAACAAAGCACTACAGTAAAGAGCGGCATTGTCAGAAAAGATAACGCTCCGCAATTGTAGAAGTTGAGAGGCTCTCTGACCTTTTCTTATGAGTTTCATTTCTCTCAATCATACTGATATTGGACTCCAGGCTCCAACATGAGACAGGACCATTCAGAGCCTTTATTTTACAGTAATTCACCAAGATCTCCTCTTTTTTCTCCTCTTCAAGAGGTGTGAAGGTTCTGCCTTTTTCAAAAGAATAACATGTGCCATCTCACACTGCGCTGTCGCTTTGATTCAAAAATATTTCCTGCTTCTTTGGTTTTCTTCAAAAGAGGCTATCCGGTGATAAACAGCTAACTTCCTGTGTATAGGCAAAGATAAGTGGGATGTTTTTAAAGGGTCTCTCTCAGGAGAGATAAAGTATCTCAAAAAGTGGGGCAATCACCTGATACGAGTCCCGGCAAGACAAAACAGCCACTGGTGCTGCAGGATTTCTTTAAAAAACACAGGAATAGCATTTGATGTACAACACGTCGGCCATTGTTGTGGGCCAGCATTGTTAGAAGTCTCTTAAAAGAGAAGAATGACTGATGTGTGACAATCCTACTAGCTTCACCGGTATCTGCTTTAGTCTGAGATGACAGATAAACACCTCCCATTCAACAGGGACGCAATTCAAAAAGGCTGTTATTTATTTCACCATTTCACACTTTTTTTTTCAGAACAAACCATGCTAAACCTCTTTTGAGGTGCTTAAAACACAGAAAAAAAGCTCTTAGTCTGAACAAACACAGGGTGTAAATTTAATATGAGTCGAGCTTTACAGTAAAACTCATCTTTATGTATTTTCTCTGCAGGTTTTGTTTTCGTGAGTTTCCTGCTTCATGAACATGCATCTGCCTAATCAATTTCATGGAGCCGAGAGGGATACGATAGCTGTCTGCTAACTGAAACTAAACCTTGCATTTATTTGATTTTTAAGCAGCTAAATGCGACGTGACTTTTATTCTAGTATGAAGGAGATGCAATAAAGTGTCAATCAAACTGTCGGGTCAGAAAGAAGGTTTTTATTTAAACAAACTAAATATTTATAGGGGATGCCTGCTTGCAGTCGTAAATGAAATGAAGATTTTTCTTTAAGTCTAACAACACAGGACAGTAGTAAAATCTTTAGATTTAGAATATTTCATTCATTCATTCATTTAATTATTCTTTCTGTACTGCTTAATCCTGAGAAGGGCAACCAGGAGCTGATGTCCATCACCAGCTGTCAGTAGGTCAAAGACAGGGGACACTCTGGACAAGTCATCAGTCCATAACAGGGACACAGAGACAAACAAGACAGTTTTGAGTCATCAGTTAACCCATCACGAATGATTTTTACTACATAAGTGTTTGCTTTAATCTCAACATTTGCTTCTTGCATTTTTCTTGCACTCTAAGGCTAATGCTAACACTAAAGCTAACTCTGGGTTGTGATCAAAGCTCTTTTTATTCATGGTATCAAAAAAAGCACTCCGCTTCAGATCTCTTTTGTGGACTGTGGGGATTTCCCACTGTGGTAATGACAGAGCTGCATCCAGATAAATATTTTAGAAGAAACAGTCAGCTAAGGGCATCATAGTTTTTTCAGCTAACTAGTAAAACCAGGCACATGCTAAGCTGAGACACAAGAATCAGAGGAAACACTAAAGAAAGGAGACAAGTTTTCACAGAAAAGTAAAAGAGACAAAAGGATGGGACTGAATTAACCACTGCTGTGGTGGAGAATAAAGAAGTTCTTCACGTGGAACTGTTGGCGCAGCGACACCTCCTACCATCTTGACACTGCATAACTCAGGTATTATTCTTGACACGCATTGATGTTAATAATCTTAATGCACCAGTTGTGGTATGTAGCTTGCATGTCTGTGATGCAACTAGGTGCAAAATAATGCACATAATATCAGTGTTGGCAGATAATGACTTAAAAATTAATTATTTTAACATTAAAGGAGACATATGACATTTTAATAACTGTTATAATAGTTCTATGTTCGATACAAAACATGTTTACTAAGTTCTTTACACTAAATCCCTCACAAAGTGGTTTTGACAGCTCAATTATTTTAATTGTCAGTAACTCACAGATTTAGCCGTTTCACGGCTCTGTCACTTTTAAGAGAACCATGCCCACCCATCCCCCGCTCTGGCTGCTGTAAGCTGAGAAGCTCTGATATTCAGGAGGGAAACGCTGGTCCTCCAGCAGCAGCAGCTCTCCTCCAGGTGAGAGGGGGTTCTATGTTGATTTCCTTGATTGTGACATCACAAACAGGAACTTCCTAAACAGCTCATTTTAGGCACATGATTCCTAAAATCAAACACCAACAGAAAACAGGTGGATGAGTTTTTTCATGTTTGAGGCAGCAGAGACTCACATGGCAGCACAAAATGATGCAAAAGTGGACTTTTTGATAATATGTCCCTTTTAATGAAAGCCCAGTTGCATATTTTGCTCTAATCCAAACCAGCTTTAATTCAAGTTTTTTAAAGCAGATGAAAGTCATTTTGACATTTTACTTTTGATTTAAAAAGTACAATCATTCGGAAAATCTTGTAAAACTAACAGTTTATTAACTTCAAAACCATCCAACTAGCAGATGCTTTTTTCCAGTTAGCACTTTTATAATAAAGCAGTAGAGTTTTCCTCTACAGTTTTTTTTTCCTGACTGATCTGTCTTACAGCAGTGAGGTGCCCCTCAGACATCTGTGGTGACATTCAGGACCAGAGCAACTCTGCAGGACTTCTGCAGCCACTCTGTGACTTGCAGCTTCAGTTTAAGAAGAGAAAAAAGTCTTTCAGCAACTCACTCTTATTAGATCACATGCAAGTGGAACAACCTTCTACAGTTCATTCTACTCTAATAAAGGCGGCATTTAATAATGAATAATAACAGATTACCAGGAGGACAGTCAGGTTTAATTCATTTAAATAAAGGGTGCAGTGGGGTTTGTGTGCTTGGTTGTAATCCTACCTTTTTCTGTAATACTGAATGAAAAGTAAAATTTTTCGACCAGAGCAAAGAACCCGTGAGTTTAGAGAACAAAGATCTGACAGAGATCTCATTGTCACTCTGTGTGCTTTTGTTCTCACGCAGAAAACCTCTTGAATAGAGCAAATTAAATGATGCAAACAAGAGAAACAATCAGATTTTTCTCCTTTTTTTGACATAATAAATATTTTCTCTTTCAGCACTTGCATCAGCCGGAGCCAAGAACGAGGCACTAGTGAAAGCCATAGAAATTAAGGTTTTTTCCTTAATAATTCCTAGGAGAAAAGAGATTGACAGCAGATACAAAGAGGTGGTTATTCAATTTTCACCAATCACTGAGACAGTCTGTCCTAAAAAAACACAAAAAATAACAGGGTTTGCTCAGCTGTCAAGAGCATCTTTTTCTTTGTTGTGAAGAAAGGTAATTAAAAATTGAACAAAAGAGCTTTTCAGTGCAGATGGAAGATTGGGAAGCAGGGAGGGCGATGAGAAATATTAGAGGTTAGAAACTCGTATTAAAGATGTGTGTGAGAGATCGAAAGTGAGCAACAACTTCATCTTTTATCATCTTTTATCATGCACAAAAACAAAAACATCTACAACCAATTTTACATATTATACATCTAAAAGAGTATAACTCATTTCACACCAACATTCTTTTATGCCATCAGCCTGAAAGCAGATGCACAAATGCACACGCGCGCACGCACACACACACACACACACACACACACACACACACACACACACACACACACACACACACACACACACACGCACATGCACACGCACGCACGCACACACGCACACACACACACACACACACCTTGTTAGCATTTGACTGACAGTAAAACATTTAAAGAGGTAATTGGCACATTTCTTTTCATTAACAAAAGGAAATTGCCACGTGTCACCTGTCAGCAGTTACAGCAAAGAGACAAGCAGCAAGATGGAAACAGACCTATAGGAGGAGTGGGGGGTCCACAGGAGAGGGATGGGGGTCTCAGAGGAGGTGCATCTGCAGGAGGTGTTTTACCAGCAAGCAAAATTATATGTATGATCACTGAAATTCAAGCATGCACTAGTAACTTCATATATTAAATTATAGTATGAACAACACATTTCTTTGTGACCTAATTAAATAAATGTTTTTTTTAAACCTATCAAGAGAAATAATCACACAGACAAAATTACCTGTTCTAAGATCCTAAACATCCATATGAATGTTGATGAAGATGAAGCTCCTTAAAGGGGACATATTATGCAAAACTCTCCTTTTGCATCCTTTTGTGCCACCATGTGGACCTCTACTGCCTCATGAAAAAATCCATCCATTCATTTTTTGTCAGTGTTTGGTTTTATGAATTTTGTGGCTTAAAAAAGCTGTTTCAAAAAAGCCACAGATGTGGAAAAGTGTATAGAACCACTGCTCACCCTCCAGGCTGGAGGAGCAGTGACTCTACTCAAAGCCCCTCCCAGATATGAGAGCTTCTCAGCTTATAGCAGCCTGAGCAAGGGGTACGTTGGGGCAAGGCTGCACAAGTGCCACTGGTCCCTCCAACTGCCACCAGCAGAAAAGGAGGGTGAACTGTCTTGCACAAAGACATAATGACTTATACGGATAAAACCAGCAACCTACTAGTTACAGGGTGAACTCCTAACCATAGTCACCATCACCCCTGAGCAACGGTGCCCCAAAGACATGGACAAAAAAAAAAACACAAAACATAAAACTCGTCTTTTTTCTGGTTTACCATAAAA